GTCACAAGAGAAATCCCTTCCATTCCCTTTAAGGGCATGCTCCCAATGACCTAAGGACCTCCCACTAGGTCTCACCTCTTAAAGATTCCATCACCTCTCAACACCACTACCCTGCAGTCCAAGCCTCAAATCACAAGAACCTTCATGGAGGACATAAATCATACCTAAACCATAGTGACCATATTACTCTTACATCATATTGGAGCAAGAATCTCGGGGTTAGCCTCCTAAATTTTATCAGAAGATGCACGTCTTAGTCCTTATTCCTTGGTGGTCTTAAGATCATGTCAGCCTAGATCTTGGCAACATCTAACCTCATTCTACACCACTGTTGCAAAGATATTGTGTATCTGTCCTTCTGTTATCCTTTATCCCATTAGGGTCCCAAATCATATTACTAGTTTCCAGACTTTTTTTAAAGTAGAGAATTTTTTTCTTCAAAGGATATTTGATTTGGAAACCAAAGAGGTCAAATAAACTAGTTGAAGCTACTCTTTCTATCTACAATAAGGTGGACTATAAACTGCCTCCCCAACTCTCTTTCTTTCTCTAAACCCTGAGAAAATTCTGCTAAGCCTAAATGAAAATCACTGTCCTGTGGCTGGCCCATCTACATTGTGAAATTGACTGTAGCACTGACTCTGGGGGCCTACCCTTCAGGCTGATGACAAATCCAGGCTGAGGTGACAGATAACCTGGCCTTCAAGATGATCATCTCCATTGTTTTTCTGTGCATTAAAAAAAAAAATTAAGGGCTGTCTACCCTGCTCAGAATGGATGGGCAAAATCACACATTCTCACACCATCTGGTATTCCATATCACATCCCAGGCAACTGCAAAGTGACAGAAACCAAGACTCAATTTTGAAAGGACAGACAAGCAGGGTGCCACTCTCAAAGTTGCTTTCTAATTCTTATGATTCTGAGTTTTGTTTTCTCTACAGTGCTTGTGCAGGGAACCCCTCACTCCACTTTGTGTAAGGGGCAAGCTCTTACTTACAGTTCAGAAAAAAGAAAACACTACGTACGCAGATCAGGCCTCAGATACTTGCAAAGAAGTTTGCAAAGAGTACATCTTACTTAGGCCGTACTTCAGAAGAATAAAAATCTGGCTGATCCAGTGGGAGAGAGGAGGGAGGGAAGGAGGGAAGGACAGAGGGAGGAAGGGAGGAAAGGACAGAGAGAGAGAGAGATTTCTAACTCAGAGAAAAGTTTCTAACTCAGACCTGCAGCACAATTTCTCCACCTGCTGGAAAAGTCCTCATGACTGAAAACCTGCAGCATCTTCTCACCCCACACTGTTTCTACCTCATTGTTAGGAGAGTCTTTCTATACCTGGAAAGTTTTGAAGGCCCCTGTGCTCAACTTGCCCTAAATTTTCCCAGAATATAGGGGAACAGAGGGCAAGGCAGATGTGCTTTTATTGTTGCTTGTTTGCTTTTAGGAACATCCTTCTTTTCCTAAATATAAAAGCAATGCATTCAACAGTATCAAATGCTGCTGAGGATACAAAGCCATGGGATCTTTGACATACTATTTGATGAGACTATGCATTGATTAATGCTACCTCTTTGGAAAAACAGTTTGACACTATCTTTTTAAGATTGGCCATTGACTAATTGTAATTGCATATTTGTGGTATATTATAATTATAATTCCATATATTCATGGGGTACAATGTAATCTATGATATATGTGTACAATGAGGAATGAGTAAATCAAGGCAATTTATGCATGCATCACTAAAATACTTACTTTGTGGTAAAAACACTAAAATTTTAATCTCTTAGCAATTTTAGAATGTATAACATATTGTTGTTAACTATAGTCCCCATGCTGGGCAACAGATCTCCAAGAACGTACTCCTTCTGTCTCTGAGACCTTGTTCCCTCTGACCAACCTTGCTACATTTCCCTGACCCCTCGTCACAGCTTCTGTTAACTACCATTCTAGTGGGTTTTTTACAGTTAACTTTTTCTTTTCTTTTGTAATTATCATACATTAAAAATACGAGGGGATTTCATTGAGATAATTCCACACTTGTGCACCTTGAGCAAGTTCACTCCCTCTGATATATTCCCATTCCCTCTCCACCTGGGTTTCAAACAGTGTTTGGTGGGTTTCATTATGCTGTCTCCATACGCACTTGTGTAGCATACTTTCATCCTCTTCACCCCTGAATATTCTTTCCTTTCATCCTTTCCCTCCCTGATATTCCCCCAGACATCCCCTACTCACATTCACATCCCATTATCGTGATCATCATCGTAGGCCAAGGTTCCACAAATGAGAAGGAACATGTGATACCTGACCCTTTGAGCTTGGCTTATCTCACTCAGGATGATGATCTCCAGTTCTATCCATTTTCCTAAAAAATGACAATTTCATTTTTCTTTATGGCTGAGTAATATTCCAAGGTGTGTGTGCGTGTATAATTTTATTTATTCATTGCTTGTTGGGTACCTTGACTGTTTCCACAGTTAGACTATTGTAAAAAGAGTGTCAATAAACATGGGTGTGCAGGTCTGTCTCTTGGATATTGAATTACTCTTAGATATATGCTCATGAATGGTATGGCAGTGTAAAAGGTTGGTCTATCTTTAGTTTTTCGAGGAACCTCCATACCAATTTCCATAGTGGTTGCACACAAGTTTACAGTCCCATCAACAGCGTATAAGAGTTTCTTTTTCCCTGCCTTCTTTGTTGATTTTTCTCTGCATACCTTCTATTAATCAGAGTGGGGTATTGAAGTCTCCTACTATCATTGCATCTCTCTGTGCTTTTATGACCAGTAGTGTTTGTTTAATGAAGCTGGAAGCACTGATATTTGATATATATATATTAACAGTTGTTATTTCCTCTTGATTGACTGCTCCCTTCATTACTATGAAGTGACCTTCTTTGTTTCCTCTATTTTTGGCTTCAAGCCTACTTTATTGGATATGAATATAGTTACTCCTGCCTGCTTTTAGGGTCCATTTACTTGGAAGATCTTTTTCCACCCTTGTACCCTAAGGCAACATTCAATTTTATCAGTAAGATGCATTTCTTGCAGGGAACAAATGGTTGAGTCCTGCTTTATGAGCCAAACTGCTATTCTGTCTTTTGATTGGAGAATTGAGACCATTAACATTTAGTGTTAATATTGAAAGGTATGCAGTAATTCCTGCCATTTTATTGTTTTTGTAGTGCTTTTTTTTTTTTTCCTATTCTTTCTTTGGAAGGCCAATGACTTTATTGATCTAAAAATCTTTACAAGGACAATGACTGTTCTACCAAAAAATGAGCCAAATGACATCAAATAGATGGGGGAAGGGGGAGTTGGACAGGACCCAGGAATAATCCATTCAGGAAGGCTGGCAACTGTCCCATGGAACTGGCAGGGGAAGGAGGTAGGGTAAGGCATGCAAGTGTGATAATTCCAAAAAGGTTGAAATGGTTGGGGGACAGAACTCCCAAAAGATCCTGGAGTACATCAGAGGAGTGTGAAAATAGCAATCTTTTCTTTGTAGAGGGCAGGAATGAGCCTCCCTCTAGCTGCAAACTTTGTAGATTCAACATAGAGCTGGGGCTGAGGGCTCCCTAGAGAGCATCACAACACTCTTGAAAGCACCCAAAGCAGTCCTGGGTCTGCTTGTGTTGGTGCCACAAATGTCCTTCAGCCATTTCTGGAAGAGGTCTTCATCTTTTGTTAGCACCAGAAACTGGCCAAGAACACACAGGCCTTGTAAAATCCCCTTTTCTCCAGCTTCCTGCCCAGGACTTCACCAATCCTGGCCAGGCTCCCCAGTGACTTTTCCCCATGGGCTCTGCCACATGGGGGAATCTCCCAGTAACAGAGGCAATTGGATGCTCTCTCTGGGTCTGTCTGCTTGTGAGAAGAGAACTAATGGGATGGGTGGAACCAGGGATTCCTTTGCCTGTGTGGTCAAATGGAGTCTGGCAGCCTGTGCTTCCATTTTTCTGTATACCTTGCTCAAGTTTGATGCTCCAGCTCTCCATTATCAAGGTAGAAAAAGTCCTAGGATTCAAGCAGGGCAATGTCTAAGTGCAAGTACAATGTGGATTCAGCAGGTGAAAGGTTGGTAGTTCAGTCCTTCTCATCTACATCTACTTTCTCAATGGTGAGGCTGACAGGGGAGGACATAGGAGATTTTTGAAAAGGATGAAACTGCTACTTCAGAGTGCAAAGACAAATTAGAGAAATGTGACTGGAATTTTGGGAAGTACTTACTGAATATCACTTGAAAATTTTAGTCATGATTTAAAAGTGAGGCCAGTCAGCAGGGGGGTCTGATTTCATCCAGTTCCAACAGCTACTTAGACACAGTTGCAAAATCAGTGGGCAGGCACGCTTGATATTGAAGGTTTTGCAAAGTTAGCGCAACAGAGGAAAACAAGTTAGCTCTGGGTAAGGCAGAAGGCAAGGCCAGGGACAGAGATGGACCAAAGGGTCGGGGAGGTCCTAAAGAATTATCCAACTTAGTGGGTAAAGCTGCAGTGGAAGAACAGGAGGTAAATATCAGAGACTGGCATCACAGGACTTTGACATAGTTTTAGTTAAGCAAGAAGACCACTGGGACTAGAAGGAGATTAGTCTCACAGTTCTAAGATGGGGCAGGAGAGCAGGTGAATGAACAATTTTGCATTTCTAGAAGTAACAAAACGTAAGTATACCAACATCAACAATGTAATTTATTAGCATTTCTCTAATCCTAGTATGAGAACCTGTGGCACTCTCTGAGCTGTAGAACTGTTCAGTGTGTGCTGATTTCCATATCAAAAGACACCCCCCAAATTCACTGTTCTGGGGTAAAGGAAAAGGAAAACAGAATTGTGAAAAAAATTAAAAAGAGGGCTGGGGGTGTCACTCAAGTTGGTACCTAGCAAGCATGAGGCCCTGGATTTAATCCCCAGCAGTGCAAACAAAACAAAACAAAAAGAAATTAAGAGATACCAAAGCACAATGATTCTAAAATTCAAATGAAAATCAGGTCACAATATTTACATGTTTTATTAAATCTTTACAATCAGTAATTATAATCAAATACACAATTATATACAAGGATTATATACATTTTGCCCAGACTTTTACATCACAGTACATAGTTTCCATTAGAAATATTGTATACATTTATCACCAAACAACAAAACCCGACAACAGTAGTGTTACAGCACCTGTTAGTACAGACATCTTTTTCATAAATTACATCATAAGAAAATATACGGCTGTAAATTGGGCTTTTAAAAATGTCTTTTATAAAATCTGAACATACAAGTTTCATTCACAGAATGTTTTTTTTCTATGTTCTGACTGAAGCCTTGTGCACAAAACGACCCATTGGAACAGTTACTAAATTCTACTCACCCCTCTAAAATTATAAGCACTATTTGAATTACTTACGCTGAGCTTTCTTTATGACAAATTTGGCATGGGGGTTGGTAAGAGCACAAATGCTGGCTTTGCTATAAAAAGGTTGTGTGATGGTAATTTAAATGTAAAAGAATTCTTAAAAGAGTAATTGCATTAGAGAAATTAAAATCAGTGCACAATTTCTCATTCTAAAATCTCCAATACGTAAAGAAAATGGGAAAAGTGAAATGTCACAAAGTAATTTGTTCTGAAACAACTGTACTCTTTTTGGAAGCTTATTACAGGTTAAAAAGAAAAAGGACCTATCCAACAAAATATCCCATCCCAAACACATCTAGTAAATTACAATTTTTTCACACTTAAACTTTATGGGGAAAGTATTGCAAATTAGTGAATATTTCAATGGACTTTTATATGCAAAAAAAAAAAAAAAAACCAACCTATAGCTATTTTTAGTACGTAAACAAGTTAAGCTTTAAAACTTGAAAATACCTGAATTGTATACTTGCTCTAATATCTAACTTTTACCTTTTAGGCAAAATTCTTGGTTCCAGGTTTGTAAACATTGTGTAAATCTCTCTGTCAAATAATTTTATGGCCGTGATCATTTCAGCTCTATTTCTAAGCGGTAACTGAGGTAGACTAGATGTTTCTAAATTCAGGAATCCCCCGAATCTTCAGCAACTAAGTAAGATATCTGCGAAAGGTATTTAACAAACAAAACCTTTCAAAAACTCCAATGCAGCTGGAATTTTTAATGAACTCAAAAACTACTTTGTGGCAGTATGTCAGATATGTAAATGAGCGTGGGGGCCAATGATAGTGGCATTTTGAAGCTGAACATACACTTTCTTAACTAGAGGAAGAAAAGTATATAAATCCTTTTGGGTATTAAGTACAACTGATTAACTCTCCTGCCCTGCCCCCCAAGGATTTAGTCTTCTAAACAAATAAATTTGCCACTACATCTCACTGCAGCACAACAACTCCCCCTAATGGCCAAAGGACACATGGCAGTATTCTGGCTTTTCCTAGTGTGTCAGACTCCTTAGTGCCATCCCCGTTAGAAATTGAAAAAAACAATTTACATTGTTTCAAAAATTTACAAGAGTTTGATTTGGATAACAATAGCTTTGAGCTACAAATACAAAATCAAATCAGTGTATATAAGGCTCTGTGATCAAAGTCTTAAAGGAACATCTGCTCCTTCTCTCCAAGCCCCAGTCCTATAAATCAAGGCAAGTCAAGTAATTAAGCTTCAGCTATTTTGGCAGCTTTGCAATTAAGATGAACAAAGCATTACGTCTATCCTTCTGTATACTGTATGTGTTATAGTTCTATCTTCTTACTCCAAATTTTACATGCAGAGAGACTAAAAATATCCATGTTGGTATCAGGTTTAATTAAGAGCCAATAAAGGTCTTGATACACTACTCTACCTTCCCCCCCCCCCCAGTGACCTATCTGTAGGAGTTATTACTCACTAACCCAATTATGTTCAGCTGGAATTTTTTAAATGCAGGTATTTATTCCCTTACAAAAGAATGTTTACCTGGGAGCTAAGACATACTGTACATGGCTATACAAAACTACAATACAGTACTGCTGTTATTTAACAGCTCCATATAGCGTATAAGTTATTCAGTACCTCAAAACCATGTTTTAGGAAAAGATTATTGTGTAATGTCATGGTAAAGAGAAAGGAATTAAATCTCTCAAATATTTCCTTAGAATTGATTATGATAAGTTTAAAAAAATAAATAAAATGAGTTAAGTCATGATTTCAATACAGGGCTATCTACCGATATCAAAGACAAAATTTTTTAAATTCAAAAATTTAAATGTGGTCAGCACCAGACTGCCACCAAAAGAAAAAAAAGAGAAAAAAAATTTTCATTAAGCTATATGGCTATATATAGTTGCTACTGTGTAAATTTTTTACACAATTCATCACAGACTAACTTTCAAGTCCACATCAGAAGGAACATTTTAAACAAAATGAACAAAAACAAACCTAAAAGCTATAATTCAACAGAAAATGTGACAGAGTCCTTAGGTACAGCATTAGAAATCAGTTCCAAAGGAGAGAAGCAGTAGTTCCCCAGGTATTTTGGATCACCACTATATTTTCATCAAGGAACACCTGTTGGTAATGTGGGCTTTCCGGCTCAAATTGCAGACTAAACACGGGATGGAGCAGGCTGACGGCTAGAGGTAACTCCCTCTAAGAGAAGTGAACTGGAAAAGATTTCTAATCTACCCCACAGGATATAATGCTAAGTTCCATTCAGAGTAGCTATAGCTTTCCCTATGGAAGGCCAGTGGGAAGTTCATATTGCAATGTTTTACTTTCTCCCTTGTTCCTTTTATCAAAAGTATTAAGAAACCAGTTTCCACAGTATCTTTTGTGACCTTTTTCCCTAGTCCCACTGATTAGTCTTTATGTAGAAAACTCACTGGGGAAGCACATTGGCTTTACCTTTGGCTTAAATGAAATGACATTGTTAGGAGGGAGGGGAAAAAAAAGTCATCTTGATCATTTGCCACTGAAGGAAGCAGGTGAAAGTGATGATCAGAAATTGTTTCTACCATGAATGCATTTGCTTCAGAACCACTGAGGTCACTTAAGAGTGTTTTTGTGAAGGCAGCAGAACCAGAATGCCACAATACTCATTTGCATCTCCCCCAAAGGGCCTCCAAGCTCAAAGCCAAGACAGTCACGCTTCCTTTAATCAGAAAGAAAGCGACACAAACTCCTATACCCAATCCATTAGTAATTGAATTTGTTTCTTGTCTATCCAGAGACTGTAGAGATATGGCTCCCACGAATGCCCGTAATCTTTCCCTGACATGCAGGGTGTGCAATGTCATCCTCTGAGGGGGAACTGTGAGTTTCCGCTTTTCGTGGACAGTTTAAATAAGGTCAGTTCTAACATGGTGTGCTCCAATTCCTAGCTAACTCCCTGTTCCAGTCAGAACGTGGGTGCTCATTACCACACTCAGAGCCTCCCGTTCGAGAGCCTGCTTTGTATTAGGGTGTCTATGACCACAGTTTACCTTTTCTTTTTAAATACCTACCACCAGAGTTTTCAGTGAATCATAGTTCATCCTTCTCCATCATTTCAAATGCTTCTATATCTTCATTCCAGTCTGCTAATATGGAGTCTATAGGCTGGACTTTTTTACCCCAGCTAACATTAGGATTGGAATCTTCCTCAGTTTCTGATTGTTCTTGAATTTGGTTATCTAAATCTGTACATTCACCATCAAGACTTGGAGTCTCGTGGTTTGCTGTGGGACTAGAAGTCTGTTCAGAAGGGGAAATGTTTGAAGCATCTTCACTATCTGCTGGAGATGAGGACTCAGGGGAGGAGTTTAAAGAACTTTCATCAGGAGATTCTTGATCAACCAAATCAACCGTCTGAGAAATTGACACAACCTGTTGTTCAGCACTCTGATTTTGAGAATCATTTTCAGAGGATGGTTGTTCTTCATTTTCCATTTCAGGATCTATATAAGAAACAAATTTCAATGCTACTTTCCCTCTCAAAATCTTTACTATTATATTTACAAAGTCACACTGGTTTTTGCAATAAAATGAAGAAATAAGACAAGGATAATCACTATTAATGCAGAACAGTGAACATTAGAACTGAGGATGATTGCCTTACAATAACATAACTGCATTTTTCTGGATATTTATTTACAAAACGTGCCAGTACTAGAAAATAAATGTTCTGAATTGAAAGGACTGAATAACAACTGATAAGACTGACTTCAATCAAATTCCAAGAAAAACACTAAACAGTAATATTAATATGCATATAAATTTGCAATATATGACTAATATTATTAAATGTCTAAATTCAGGAAAGCTTACACATGAGAACATACTAGATAAGAAAATTTTAGGCAGCATATTATTTTAAAATAATGTTTCTTGGAACAGTGAAATTACCATTCAGTAAGCCATGAAGATTCAGATAATAAGACACTGGATGATTCCAGGTATTAACATGATTGATCAATTAAAATATTTTCACAAAGAACTGAGATTATTTACAAAACTTCTATTATTGTGTGCCTATGAATTAGAAGACGATCAATCATTCTGAAGTCCTCTGGGAGGTGGAAAAGTAGGCAAGTCTCTTGTAATGACTATAAAATGAAACCACTAAAGGCATTTTATTTAAAGTGCCTACAAGAAAGTGCTTAAGTTGACGCCCACATCCTACTCTGCCTCTACAATGTGGTCATTCAGTAGACATCTCCCAGGATCCACTGTGCCTGGTGCTACAGATTAAATGAGGAGCAAAACTAAACACTACACCTGTCTGTATGCCTCCTACAGTCCAACAGGGGAAAGGTATTTACAAATAATGGATAATATTTACAAAATAAATGGAAAACTCCAACTGTGACACATTTTGAAAGAGAGACAGGTATGTGGTTAGGAAAGGTTATAGGCAAGGGATTGAGGAGTTCCTTTGGAAAGGAACATTAAATGGATAAGTAAAGTTCATTAGTTAAAGAAAGAAGATACATCTATTACAAAACAAAAAAGAAACTGAAGGAAATGTGAGCATACGGGAAGGCACTGGTGTGTGTGCATAGTGATCAAATAGGATTTCCTGAGGGAGTAGTATGCATTTTTGAACTGTGGAAGAGGTACAATTCAATTAGACAGGGAAACCATGGGTCCAAAGAAAGCAGGGAGCTGGTTGATAACAGCTTATTTGTACTACTGAGAACAAAGGGAAAAAACATTTGTTTCTTTCTGAATTGTATTGTTCTAGTTTAGAAGCATGGAAAGAGATGTAGAGTTGCTCTGTCTAGTAATAAAGATTGTTATTATATTATGGGTTACATATGATATTATCATATAGGTTACATATGATACAGTATTATTGTAGAAATCTAGCTAAAGCAATAGCATAAGAAAATAGAATAACTATTATAAATAAAGGAAAAGAAAATAAATTATCTATATTTTCAGATGTGTTTATATCCCAAAATAGAAAGCAACTCTAATTTTTACAAATACTACTAAAATTAATAAAAATAATTTGGTAAGGAGGATTAAAATAACTGCAAATACTCCTTTATAGTAACAAAAAATAAAATTATATATTCTTTTCATAATAGAAATGAAAGTTATAGACACAGAATTAAATTTATTATGAGAGGTACAAGACTAAAATTACTTAATGCTATAAAATCATAATAAAAATATAAAACAAGATCTGATTAAAATCATAAACATGCTCCTGAACAATCTTAATATTTAACATTTTCCTAATTTATATGTCAAATATGCAATTATACAATTCTAAAATTTAAACCATTTCTACTTTTTTATTGTTTTATGGAAGAATGAATACATGTCAAAGAAAAGTCAAGAAATTCTAAAAAGAATCAGTAAGGGGAAAGCTGCCATATCAAATAATAAAATGTATTCAAAACAGAATACCTTTTTAGTACTGGCATAGGAATAAACAAATAGCTTAGAAGAACAGACGTGCAAGTGTAGAATTAGATCTATCTATGTAAGAATATTTGATATGTAGCAAAGGTGATAGTTGAAGAAGAAACAGTTGGCCTGCTTAATAAATGCTATTTAATAACTAACCACTGAATCAGAAATACAGTTAGATTCCTAACTTACATTAAAAAATAAATTCCATGTGAATTAAAGGCCAAAATATAAAAAATGGTGTATATTCCAGAAGAAAATTTAGGAAGCCATTATGTAAAAATAGCATGGAGTGATCTTTTGATGAAAACCCAGGATCCTTAAATGCATTAATATTTCTGATTACATAAAATAAGTTAACAAAGTCAAAAGATGTTATGTTGGGAAAATAGTATATATTATCTCCAGCTTTGTCTGTTGTAATTGTGTATTAGATCATTTATGGAAGGAAAAGAAATGTACATACACATTATAGCGATCATGTAAATAATGCAGAAGACACAACAACCATAAGAAGGCAAAACATTAAGTAGACAATTCAATTTCCTTTATGTTTCATTTGTTATTGGTAAAAAATAATAATACCACCCCCAACAGTAATCGTGTTGTTCTTGCCTGGTCCTGGATGACTCCTTTCAGCCCACATGACTTAAAATGCACCTCGTGAACACACACGATTCTCAGTCTAGTCTTGAACACCTTACCCTGACCTACTTAGCTCTTTACTTACCAATTTGTTTCTTTCCTTCTTATTACTAACCTTCAGAATATACTTTCTGAATAGGGCTTGTATCATATTTATACCTATCACTCATCACTCTCTCAGGATATTCCTCTCAAGTAGAATTTATGTGTCTGCTCTAGTTCAGTTACACATCTCTGGACTCTTTAGCATAGATACACACACATCTCCAACAAAGCATGACTAAGCTCAGTGAAACATATATCCACAAAGGAAAATGTGACTAAAATTAGGGAGAAGCATGCACTCTCGTGTCTTGCTGGAAGTTATGTGTACTGCATCTTGCAACATTTATTAAAATTCAAACGATCCATATCCTTTTCACCAGCATTCCATTTTAGTAAATCTAAAAATTCTAGACAAGCATTAATATGTAAGAAAATATGTATGGGATATTTCCTAAAAACTCGGGAAATAACTTGGATACTTAATAGTAAAATGGATAAATTATGGTACAGTCACACTATAAAATTTATTGGAGCTTTTCAAAGAGTATGTCTGCTATCCTACCAGCATAGAGGAATGTCCTCAATGTAGATTTAACTGTAAAAGGCAAGTTACTGAATGATATTTATAATGTATCCCATTTATTGGGAAAAGAAAAAAGAAAAAAAACCCTCTGTAATCTTGAAATGTATAAAGCACAACAGAAAATACAAACAATTACACACTAAACTTTAGCATTGGTTATTTATCTCAGGAAGATGAGAGATTATGAAAAACTTTTAATATACATCTGAATGATCTTGTAACAAATTTAAAATTTTTTTGAAATTAAAAATAAAGCTTTCCAAAAGACAGTAATAATCACTCTATGAGGCTCTATTGGAAGTCACCAAAAGCCAACTAGATGAGAGAGGAGAGAGGATGGAGGGGAGTGGTGCCAGGAAAGGGAAAGAGAGGGAGAGAGAGAGAGAAGGAGCAAGAGGGAGGGAAGGAGGAAGGAGAGGGAGGGGGACAGATTTTTAAGATACCCACAGAAGATATTTTTTTCCAAGCTTACAAAACTATCAAAAAATAGAGGAAGCAATTGGCCAAGTAAAAATGGCAGTTGGAGAAGTACAAAGAGATACAAAGGAGTTAAGGGGAAAAAATACAAAGAAAAAAGAAGATACAATGGGCTGGAAGGGAGGGAGGGACGGAGGGAGGAAGGAGGGAAGGAAAGAAGGAAAGAAGGAAGGAAGGAAGGAAGGAAGACAATCCCACGATACAAAGAAGAGAAAATCCATCAGTTTCACTAATAAAATGGGAAGGGGCTGGGTGCACTGCAAACACTCGCATTCAGCTCTTGTGATTACTGAAAGCAAGGTACACAGAGATGAGAAGAACTATGCACAGATCCATATTATAAAGGCACCCTTAAATTTTGTCTAGGAGAGTAAATGTCATACAGAAGGTGGCATTTGAACTGGGTATTTAGGATGCCAAATGTTCTCAAAGAGAAAAAGGGCCATGGGCGTGGAGATAGGGATTGAGGGAAGACGAGAGCAGATGGAAAAGAACATGCAAAAACATGGTGCCATAAGAGAGGGAAGGTAGGGGAGTATCAGTTCTGCTGACAAGAATGTTTGGGATGTTCCTCACCAAGCAAAGGGCCCATCTGTATATACACTAGGTTTTTCTCCTGGGAATAAAATCCTTTTTAACAGTAACTTAAGTTCTAAATTCAACTCTAGGACAGATTCACCCCAATCAACTTCAGTAGGGGATAATCTTAGGAAAAATGACACTGTCTAACTTAAATTGGGATCAGGTCAATGGGACTTTTTTAAAAATCTCCTCCATTTTCTTTGTGTGCCCTTTTTTCACCACAGACAGTAGCCATGAAAACGTTTACCTATAGTTCTGCACTGTAGGCTGCAACCATGCCAATGCACTGCAACTTTAAAATGATGACCTTCCCCCTTGAGAAATACTACAGAGAAGAGGAAACGGAATTGACTTTTTTGTGTGTATGTGTGGTACTGGGGCTTGAACTCAGGGTGTACATCTTGAGCTATTTCACCAGCCCTATTTTGTGAAGGGTTTTTTCAAGATAGGGTTTCGCAAACTATTTGCCCAGACTGGCTTCGAACTGCGATCCTTCTGACCTCTGCCTCCTGAGTAGCTAGGATTACAGGCATGAGCCGGCTTTTTTTTTTTTTTTTTTTTTTTGCAGTACTGTATTGAACCCAGGGACTTGTGCATGTAGGTAAGCCATGTTCCTGGCCCTTTTAATGTATTTTGTTGAGATATAGGGCTTGCTAACTTTGCCTGTGCTTTGCTGGCACTTATGACCCTCTTTCCTCTGCTTTCTGGGTAACTGGGATTATAGACATGTACCACTACCTACACCTGGCTGAAAATTGATTCTTAACTGTAAACTGCTTCAATTTGAATCTAACAGTATCAACATATTGTTTTTGTGGACACAGGGTTGGAATTAAATATCTTTATAAACTGAAATTTTGGAAAGATGAAACACATGAGAGATAGTATTAAAGTTCTGTTCAACAGCAGGCCATGAACAATTTAACTCAGAAATGTCACTAGTTTGGTCCAAGAAAGAAGCATCTCCACTTGATAAATTACTCACTAGTACTTTAGCTTCTGAAGAAGAACGTATAATGAGAAATATATTTGTTGCCAACAGGTATGACTATTTCAGACATTGAATACTAGTGACTGGAACTTATCATCAGAAAGAGAAGACGGGCTTGCCTGTGGCTCCTATTTTCTGCTCAATCGGCATGGTATGACTTTATTAGGAAAAACATGTATTTGTGAAAACAGATTTTTTTAAAAAGAGCAATCTAAAGGATGCCGTATTTTTTGGAATTTAAGGGTGTCACTAGTTGGTGAATTTATGTAATACTAACAGAGCCCAGGATGGCATAGTAAGGCTAGGTGCATAGCTGGGAGACAGAAAGCTCTTTCAGGTCTTGATCAGAGTTCCTAAAGTAAGAGAAGCTAGTTACATTACAGTCATCTGGATGCACATTAAAAATGTCAAATTCTGGTCCCCTGCCTTCGGACAGTCTGCTCAACACTGTGGAGAAGAACTCAGAAGTTCCCGCTTCTAAAAAGCACATCAGTAACTCTGATGCAGAGGAACAATGCTACTGCATGTGGTATGGTGTGGAACACGTCAATGATATCTGCTCCAGAGCACAACTTCTTAGGATGTCATCCTGAGTAGATGGCTTCAGCAAGCTATTATCACTGATTTTTGTACAGTGATAAATATTAATAATTATTACGTGTTGCTGATTTAGTTAACATAGCTGTGCATTTCTCAAAAGATTATTACACAAAAAAGGTGATTTTAAGATCATTTTATCACAGGATCACTCTATAATAGGAGCACAACTCAGTAAATTTATAGACTATCAAAACGTTTTTTAAATAATGCCCTTTTATTACAAGATCCTTAAGGGAATACTGATTTCCCCAAGAATTTATTTTTCTAGTAGAACAGGGGATGACCTTTCCTCTGGCATGGGAAACACATTCTTCACCATAGTCTTGCAGTCCTAGCCCTGTGTGTATCCCTGACATGCCCCGCCCTATGAGCAGCTACTGACAAGTCAATTTTTAAAATATTTTACATTGTATCCAAATAAAGGATGAGCCAAAGTAGTAGGTATGTAAACAACAATGCTTAGGTTAGAATGAGTCTTGAACAGACATGGACTAGTAAATTCAGCTACTATATGGAATGTATATTAATAGAATCTGTTATGGTAGGATAAGGAATTATTATTATTATATGGGGCAGCTGACTAGACATGAAAATAATCTAATTACATTAAATCAGATATTATCATGGCAATCATTGAAATGAAATTATATATGTATGTGTGTATGTACACACACATATGCATATATAATTTAAGGCTTGGTAATGCAAGATACTTACTACTATTAATAATGTAGCTTGGAATCATTTTACCTTTTAATATTGCTGCTGAAATTCCAATGGTAGCAAAAAACGGGGGAAAAAGCAAAGGTATTAAAGAGTTACATAGAATAATAATAATTTGCCTGTGTTTGATGTACCTAATTGCATATGTGTAGAAAAGAAGATATGAATTTTGAAAAAGGACCCAGGGGGGTAAAATCAGGTACATAAGAGGATTTAAGAAGAATGGAAAGCCTTTGTATTCTGTTCTTTTTTCATCTTTACATCCTTACATGCACACATCCTATTCGCTCACTCCACTGCTCTTAAAGAGTTGACAATTCAAGAATCTCAAAGATGAATAAAGCAGTACAAAAAAAAGTGATTAGGCTAGTATAGGATTACTAATGAACTTAAAAAAAAAAAAAGACATCCCTCTTTAAAGTTATACTGAACTGAATCAATTTCCTGCACACCTGTCAAACACTGTATAGGATATAACAACCCTGCACAGAGTATACAACAACATTCACCTAAGGAGAATAAGGTGCGGATTGCTCTATCTATGGGTACCTCCAGTAGATAAGAAAAACTGCTACTACATGCAGGATCACAGCCTGTCTGACAGCTCACTTCCCTTCATTTATCCCTATCCCTGGGTATAAAACCATGAAAGAATACTAGTAAAACCTTGCCTTTATATATTAAGGTTTCAGAGAGTTTACTAACAAGTATTTTGGAATAGGGAGAACTATATGCTCTAATGACTTAAGACATGCTATCTTGTTCTTTAGGCACTGCCATTTGTAACTCTTACAACTTAGAAATATCTGTATGATAAAACGCAGACCTCATTGGGGAGAAGCTGTTAGATGTATATTGCCTTCACCAAGCCAGTGGTCATGTGATTATAAATTGCCAGTAAGACAAATTACTATCATAATGTGTACACCACCATCCTAAACAATCTCTTCTTCTTGTTTATAAAACAAATGTAAGCTGTGGTAGCAGTGAAATTGAATGGTGAACAATTTTGGATGCTAAAATGGCTACCTTAATGTTGTATACTTCTAACTAGACAGAATCATGGCAAAAATTATAAATTACACATGAAAGCATAATCCTAAAAAAATCTTACTTCACCCAAAGAGCAAATACTACTCTTTACACTACAATTTACTACTCTTGTATCCAAATGAAAAATTTATTTTAAACCTATCTTCTAAAAGTTTTACTTGCTTTATAAGTGAACCAAAAAAAGAACAAACAAAGCACTTTTATGTAACTCATTTTTATCAAATTAGCAAAATGAATGCTAAGGTGCATGAAAAACAAATACTGTTTGCCCCTTACCTCGATCTTTCGCTTTATCAGAGAGGAGCACTTCTACCTCCTCATACTCCCGGATGGCATCCAGGATGATACTTCCTTCTTTGCTGAATAAGAACAGCATGGGGATCTTGATGTCATCCGTGTCCTTGCCATCACCTGCCATCTGGAACAGAGGGGCAGTATCACTGCTGCTCCCCTCGTTGTCATCTATCCAGAAAATGATCACAGCAAACATCAAGACAGTGCCCACTAAAAAGATTTATCAATTGTTACTGCTTTTTACCTGTTGACAGAATTGTTTTATGCACCAGAAAAGCAAATGTAATTTTTGGACCCACTAATTCTAGCATTTATCCTAAGGAAATAATTCCAAAGAAGTGAAACTTTCAAAGAAGATTACTGGAGTACTATTTATAATTATGCACAACTGAAACCATTATAAATAAATTATAACAAACACACAGAGAAACAATGATTTAACAATGTACAGAAAACAGAGAACATAAAATACTATGATAATGACTATAAAAACTATGTATGCTTAGGGGAAAAACCTAGAAATAGAAATTTAATGGCTTGGATTATGGTGATAGAACTATGAATGAATTTGTTCTGTTTAAGATTTCCTTTAATGAGGGCTGACGACGTGGCTCAAGGCCCTGAGTTCAAACTCCAGTTCTGCAAAAAAACAAAAAAGCAAAAACAAAACAAATGCCATTCCCTCTAATGGCATCATTACAGGTTGCGCATCCCTAATCTGAACATTTGAAATGTTCCAGCATCAAGGATTTGGGGATTAGGAATGCTATGTAAATATTCCAAAAAAAAACCCTCCAGAATTGGAAACACTTCTGGTCCCAACATTTTGCAGAAGGGATAATCAATATGTCATAACATGTTTGGTTTTATCAAACTACAAATTGACAGCTTTTTACATAATACTCACAAAGAATAACTATAACTCTAGTGATTTTTCCTCTATAAACTGAATTTGACAATAGTTACTTTGCCATGGTTAAACACGGTTACAATGGAGACAGCAACCATGCCCACTCCCAGTCTCCCAGAAGAAATGGTTTGCCCATCCAGAGCATTGCTCTCACAGGCTGCTGCTAAGTGGCAAATACAATGTGTGACCCTCCTCTTAGTCACAAATGATTAAACAAGAATGGCTACCTGACCCTCAGTCTCTCTGGGGAACCATGAACTGGCACGCAGAAAGACTTTCAGTTAGTGGTAGGTGGTAACCAGTTATGTGACACAGACGCAAGGCTCAGGCCATTTTGGAACTGATGAACAAAGAGGGAGCAGGCTAGCGAGAAGCTGGAGAATAAGGCAGAATTGCAAAGAGAAGCAGAGATGAGGGTCCAAGAGGACCCAGAGATAGAGAGAAGCATGGAAAAAGTTACTTCTCATGGCTGGAGGTAATTCTTAATTCCCACTTCTACCTCTTGGTGAGTCCCCACTGTGTTTATTTCTTATTCTTGGGTTCAATGAAAATAATCCATTTCTGTACAGTGAGCAATCCCCCTTCTTAAACTAACGTAAGTAAATTATCTGTTGCAGACAAACAATTTCTAAGATAATCTGCACTTTTAGACCTTGCAATAAAAAAACTAATGTCCTAATTTATGTATTTTATGTACAATTAAAACCAATAAAAATGTTTTATCTGAAAAAAATAATTTAGGACAAAGAAGTCACAACATAACAAAGTTTCTCTTTAAAAACTAAAATCTGAAAATAAAAATCACTGTCTCATACTTATTTTTCCATAGAACCTAGCACAGGATTCTGCAACTAATAGCTACTGAAGAAAACATTTCATTTGACAGCCTTGCACATTGCACAGTATCATGAGATTTAGATATTACCAAAAAATTGGGAAAAATCTAATTTAAAATCCTATACAAAGAAAGATTTTTTAAAATATTGATGAATATCTCCCATACTTTTCTATACTTAGTATTTCAATTTTTAAGATGTAAATAAGAGACATTCAAAGTGATAGTAAAATGTAAATTCTTCAATAAAAGTCACCACTGTGGAAAGTAATCACAGGAAGAGAGGCTGATTGAGGCCAGAGGTCAGCAAACGCCTCGTGTAACTGGTTAGATGGTGAGCACTTTAGCTCTGCAGTGGTCTGTGGCAACAACCCAACTCTATAGCTCAAAGCAAAGACAAGACAACATGCACACAAATCAGTGTGGCTCTGTCCCAATAAAGCATTTATTTACAAAAATAGGCAGGAGTAAGATTTAGCTTACAGTCTTTAGTTTGCCAACTGCTGATTTATTTAAGTTATTAAACAGAATTTCTCCTAATACTTCCTTAACTAATAAAATCAACACTGGCAGGACCCATATGGAACAAGTAAAAGAATAGTAAATAATTTTTGTGTTAAAATAAGACCTAATATTTAATTTTTAATGTCTTTTTCTTTTCATGGTGCTGTGGATTGAATCTGGGGCCTTCCACTGAGCTACAGTACCAGCCCATTAGTTTTTTAATTTAATTTTGGTTTTTAGTGGTACTGTCATTTGAACTCAGGACCTTGTGCTTGCTAGGCAGACACTCCACCACTTAAGCCACAACCCCAGCCTGTTTGCTTTAGCTGTTTTTCAGATAGGGTCTAGCATTTTACCCATGCCAGCCTTGGGCCAAGATCCTTCTACCTATGCCTCCAGCATAGCTGGGGTTATGGTACAGACCACTATACCCAGTTTATTAGCTGAGATGGTATCTTGCTAATTTTTTATGCAGCTTGGCTTCAAATTAGGATTCTTCTGATCTCTGCCTCCTGAGTAGCTGGGTTACAGGCATGTGGCACCCTGTCCATCACCACCACCAGCCCTTGAAATGTCTTTTTATTTACTCTGAACTCAATCTACTCTAATTGGGGACGGGGGAATCCTAATTTTCCCTGTGGGAGAAGCTATTCAGAACTCACAAATAAGGTGTGATCCTGGGTCTTCCAGTTCTTTCAAAATGTAAACTCCTATTTACTTTTAACAGAAAAATTTTTATCTTCCGTGATGGTCATAGCCTGCTTGTCATGATACAGTATTTTAAAAAGTTGATTTAAGTGCATGGGTAAAATGACTAAAAGCTTGTAATTTATAATTTCAGTGAAAAAAAATCCAAGGGAATAAAGATTTGTTAGCAATCAGTACTTATACCTTAAGTCCACTATTATCTAAAAATTCTACAAATATTATTTTTAAAATACATAAAAATATACTTATTACTATTTTCACTGGAGCTAAAAAAAATATTCTTCAGAATAAAAAGACAAAGTAACTGAAGCTGGCTCACGGTTCCACTGCGATTGTGTGGCAGAGCCAGTACTCCAAAGTCTCCACTTTTGTGAGGAATGGAAATTCTCAGTGGCTACCCCTGGAGGTGGCAGAGGGCAATTCTTGTACTAAGGGGTTTTGGATCTCAGGGGTATTTCCATCACTCCTACCTGACCCTCATACCTTTCCCTAAATACTTTCACTGACATTAACAGAAACCCAAACCCAGGCTTTCCAAAAAAGAAATTAGATATATTGAAATTATTAAGAATCTCTATACACATAAATATAAAAACAACATGACAAAGTCTTTGCGGGAATTCCAGAAAATAAAGGGAAATCATAGCCCTCATCTCATGGTCAGTGCAATGACAGAGCAGCGCTTACCGATGACAATGCCGCCAATGGCCCCAGCATTCTGGATGTTGCGCGCCTTTTCTGCAAACATGCACTGCCCTCTTTGTATAAGTGCGATTTTTCCCATCACTGCTTCAGGGTTAGTGAGCTCTGAACAGCCATTGTACGGCTTACTGCTTGCAACAAAGCCTCTTGTCTGCCAGAAATAAAAGGAACCTAAATGTTTTATCTTTTCAAATTATAATCTATCCATTAAACCTCAATCTGTGGAGCTGTAAGCAAACTAGAACTCATTTTTTTCTAATAACATATCTAATATATTTAGTAGAGATGTTTGTTTTAAGTAGTTTGCATATCAGAGTACCCAACCAGTATTTCCATTGTACTTTGCATTTTATAAAGCATCTTTATATAAATTACTAAACCTGATCTTTACAATGTCTCTGAGTGAAACATTACAACTATTATTTCCATTTTACATATGGGGAAACTGAAACTTGAGTTACATAACTTGCTCAAAGACACTAAGTGGCAAAGCTGGAACCTGTAGGCAGATTCACTACACACGGTACCCACATTTACAACAGCTAGGAAACATTTTTAAACCATCACTGACAACCAGAAAAAATTCTTAAAGAATGGATTTAGTCTACACAAATCTGCAAACAGTCCTTTCTATAAATAAATAAATAAATAAATCTACTAGAAACTGACTCTTCAAGGATGTTTTAATATTCCTTCTCTCCTAGAATGTAAATTCTATGACAGAATGGGTCTTTACTGATTTTATAAACTGATATATAGCAAGCAGTGCCTCACTTAACACCTTTAAATGGATAAATCAATCTATAAATATCTCCATAATTTAAAAAGACATTATTAGGAAAAAGTTTAAATTAGGAATAACTGAATGGGAAGAGTTTAGCTTGTCAGGACACTTGGGGTCTAGCCCCAATTTTGCAATCATTAGTGAGATAAACTTGTGATCTGTTCAGCTGCAAAGGTCTTTGTTTCCTAGATCATAAGTAAGAGAATGGACTGGCTTAGTCTTCCGATTACTCAGTGAACTGCCAGGGTTTCATGTTCTCCACAGCCACGTGAGCCACAGCACAACTTCTAGATGTTTTCTATACTCCTGAGTTAGATCCTTGATCAAAGAAAGATTCTACTAGTTATTAGAAAGGCTGAAAAATACTTTGCTAAATTAAAGGTACTAAATTAGAGAAGAAACCATGAAATTGGAAAGAATCTCAACAACATTTTATTTTACAGTTTTTGAGTACTGGGGCTTGAACCCAGGGCCTCATGCATGCGCAGCATGAGCTCTATCACTGATATACAACTTAGCCCCCACCACAATATTTAAATAAAATTCTTTAAGCATATTATATATATATATAATTTTAAAGATAAGCTTTTACTTTGCTTAAATCAGGGATAGTGTTTTTGGTTTTTGGTGATGCAAGGGATTGCACTGAAGGTTGTGTTCTACCAACTAAAATTACTGAATTAGAGAGAAAGAAATCAGACAATACTTAATTTTTCAAATTCAATTCCAACAAGCCTATTCTAAGTGGACATACCTCTTTATGTTTAGACAGATCCAGCCCAAACTGAGCTGGTCCAGCGGTCAATACTACCCTGCCAAAAAAGGGGTGGGAAACAATTTGTACAGCCCGTGGAGGCAGCTGCTGTTCTTTTTGTTGCTGACTTGACAATTCAATCATCTCTTGCATGAACCTCAATCCATCTTCAGCATCAATTGAACTAGCAGCCTGTGAAAGAAACAGATTCATTTTATCCTTCCTTTCTGGAAACTTTCTCCATCTATTTTGATTTCCTAAACACACTGCATAGTGTTCTCATAATTTCTCCTTTTACCTTAGTCCCTACTAAATATTTATGGATTTACTTGTCCTCAAAAATATTATTCCAGGGTGGAACAGGTTCTGCCTGGAAGCGGGGGTGTGGGGTGTGGGGGTATGGTGAAGTGGCCCAAATAATGTATACAAATGTAAATAAATGTAAAAACAATAAAAAAAAATAATACTTCCAGCAATTATATTTTCTGAAAATAGCATCTATAATTTTTATCAATGTCTCATTCACTCTTCTATAAATAATCTTTTTGTTGTTATTGTTTTATTTTTGACAGCCACTATAGTCTAGGTTGGCCTTGAACTCATGATCCTCCTCCCTCAGCCTCTTGTGTACTGGGATTATAGGTGTGTACCACCACTCTTGGCTTATAAGCTTCTTTTGATGCAGTTTGAGAATTGGGCTTTTAGCAAATGCTCCATTGGCTCTCCCTTTGAAGAAATAAACCTCTAATACACATCTCACTTCCTGGAAACTATGAACTGACATACATATTCAATTTGATTCAAAACATGTATTAGGCACTGGGAGACAGCCCTTTAAGTTTGCTTCTAGAGAAGAAAATCATGTAAAGTTAATTACGTTAAAAATTCTCAAGTGAGAAAGTGGAACAGGACCTTAAACAAGGAAATAGTTGATTCTGCTGTGTTTATCTGAGGATTAAAAGTAAAATTTGAATTAAGTTTTGAGAATTAACAAAGGAAAAGTTGAAGAATGCCTATCACAGAAAAAAGAAGATGGTTTCTTTGCACTGTATAAGAAAAACCAACAGGACTTGATGGGAGGTGGAGGAAAGAGAGGAGCTGAGAGACTAAGTTTTTCCCGAAATTTCTCTCATTGATGATGAGTTAGAGAATGACAGTAAGGTTTACTGATATGGAGTACAAAAGAAGAAAAGATGGGTTGAGGTGAAGATAGCAAGGGATAATGCAAGTATGGACAGATTGAGACTGAGATGCAAAAATATATAGCAAGGGGTAGGGGTATGTCTGAAGTGGTAAAGAACCTGCCTAACAAGTGCAAAGCCCTAAATTCAAACCCCAGTACAGCCAAAAAACAAAATAAAAAATGTGTGTGTGTGGATGTGGATGTGCATATACATTTATATGCACATAACATTAGGTTTAGAATTCAAGTTAGGAATCAGATTTACATACATTCGTCTAACAAGTCATCTAGGTTTGTAGGAATAGGGAAGACTGTTGAAGAAAAGCATAATGAGAAAAAAATATCCTGATTCTTTGATAGTGCTATAGAGTAAGTATGCCAGGGAAGGAGAGCTACCAAAGGAATCTATGAAGCAGTGAACAGAGAAGAAAAAAAGAACTATCTTGTTGGAAGCCAAGAAAGGATGGTGTTTTAAAAGGGGCCAGTCAACAAGTACAGAAAAGTAAATCATGGTCAGAGTGAGTCCACATGGTCACAATGACTCCATTGGTGGCCTTAATGAAAGCATTAGCAATGCCACCTTCACTAGTAGGGTGACCAAGTAAAGTACAAGCAAGAAGGAACACCCTTCAATGAAGGATGGATGTGGCGAGAATATAGAAAGAAATCTGAGGGAAGGTGGAGCTGTCAAAAGGAATTTGAGATTAAGGGCTATGTGAATATGGTTTTAGGTGAAGTGATTCAGCACACTGCATCATTTTCTCAAACCCAATGTGCTAACAGAAGGTAAGTAATTTAAAGGTCTCATGTGATGAAAACTTTAAAAGTCAATAAAAACTTTCCAGAATGGCATGTTATCTCTCCTAGGCATAAGTACATGCAAGTTTTGATTTTTATGGTAAATAAATACTTAGATTCAGTAGCTCTTTGGAAACTAAAATAATGTGACAGTCCTGGGATTTGAACCCAGGGCCACATGCTTGGTAGGCAGGCACTCTACCACTTGAGCTACGCCCCCCAGCCCTTTGCTTTGGTTATTTTTGAGACAGGGTCTTGCTTTATGCCTGGACCACAATACTCCTACTTGTACTTCCTCACATAGCTGGAATGATGGCCATGTACCACTGCACCAAGCCATTTGCTGAGAGGGGGTCTCACAAACTTTTTGCCTGGGCTGGCCTCAAACCACGATCCTTCTAATCTCTGCCTCCTGAGTAGCATGGATTATAGATAGGCTTGAACCATTGTGTTCATCAAAATATAAATATTAAAACTAATCATTAACTTTTGAAGTTATACTCTAAATAAAATCAATAATGGAAAATGGGAGAAACAGAAATTTTAGATGAGTCCTATATTTGACTATTAACATAATTTACCCAACCTGATTTAACTCAAAAAATAATTCCAAGTGCTAAAATTCTGATTCTCTAAGCTGTGTTGTAAAAAAGTCAAATGCCATTATCTTATTAAGGCTTAGGAGAGCAAAAAGGGCAGAGAAGAGACAATATCTGGTTAGTGTAGCAATGTCTTACTTGGATTGCATGTTGGACCAACTGGACTCTCCCATCTTTGAGGTGAATCAAACTCACCCCCATCTTCTTCAGGATTTCTAAATGCTCAGGATTAGTGGCCATGAAATCTCTGGCTCTCAGAGGGGGTTTTGCTCCACTCCTGAAACTCTCCTCTCTGCTAAAAGTAATTATAGGCAAGGCTTAAAAAATGACAAATCAGAACTAGTGAAAAATAAAAACAGTAAAAATGCTCACTTTAGTATTATTAAAACTGGAACAACTGGAAAGTTATTTTCCTACATATAATTTATTACTAACTGGTATGGCTGTCCAGTTACAAAAGCAATGTATATCATCTATGTAAGCAGCACTAGTCACAGGATAGTAACTATTTTAAGGTCCAGAACAGGTTTGCCTGGGAATTTGTTAATTTTTCTCCCAATATTTTAAAAGTAAAACAATACTGATATCAGTATTGTTAATACTGCTCACTTAAATTTTTTATCCATTCATTCCTGCATGACTGACAATTGCGAACCCCGGCATTGTGCAAGCCAGGTAAGCACTTGGCCACTGGAGCACTCTACCACTTTTTTTTTTATTTCTTTATTTTCATTAGCATATATTAACTATACAAAGAGGTTTAATTGTGATACTTCCATACATGCATATAATGTGCTTTTATCAACTGAGCCCCTCTATTACCCTTTCTTATCTCACTCTCTTTTTAATATTTTCTTTTTTACAATTTTTGCAGTTCTGGAGTTTGAACTCAGGACCTTGCATCTGCTATGCAGGTGCACTTGAACCACATCCCCAGCCCTTTCTGCTTTAGTTACTTTGCAGACACGGTCTTGAGTTTTTTGCCAGGGCCTGCCTCAACCGTGTTCCTCCTACCTATGCCTCTCACATTGCTGAGATCACAGGCTTGTTTTGTTGAGAAGAGTTCTCACTAACTTTTTGCCTGAGCTGGCCTTGAATAATGATCTTCCCAATCTGCACCTCCCAAATAGATGGGATCTAGACATGACCACCATGCCTGACTTTTTTGTTGAGGCAGGGTCTAATGGTTTGTACTGGTGGTGGATGGGGGAGGTTGGCCTTGAACTGTGGTACTCCAGAGTTCTGCTTCCCATGTAGCTAGGATTACAGGCATAAGCCACTGTGCCTGGCCTATTAGTAATTTTGAATCAGTAATAACTACATACCTCAATTTCTTTGGTCTAAGTGAAAGTCTTCTTGACTGCTGTTACATGTTCCTTAAGCTTTCTCTCATTTACTAAGAGTTATACTTGAAATTAACAAATACAAAATAATACATCTTACACTCTGACGATGCCTCTAGGGCAGCTCTTATCCACCACGTTTTTCAAGGGTTCACGAATACGCTGAGCATACAATGGATCATGAGGGAAGAGGATCTGAGTATTGGGACAAGTCCAGTCAAAATTACTGTCATCCAGCTCTGTATATTCTGAGGTCTACAAAACAGAAAATTTTAGGTACATTAAGAATAGCCATTTTAGATTGGACTATGAGCACATGATAAAAGCGAGAGCACACAAGGGAGGGGTGAGGATAGGCAAGACACCTAAAAAATTAGCTAGCATTTGTTGCCCTTAACGCAGAGAAACTAAAGCAGATACCTTAAAAGCAACTGAGGCCAATAGGAGAAGGGGACCAGGAACTAGAGAAAAGGTTAGATCAAAAAGAATTAACCTAGAAGGTAACACACACACACAGGAAATCAATGTGAGTCAATGCCCTGTATAGTTATCCTTATCTCAACTAGCAAAAACCCTTGGTCCTTCTTATTATTGCTTATACTCTCTCTACAACAAAATTAGAAATAAGGGCAAAATAGTTTCTGCTGGGTATCGAGGGGGTGGGGAGGAGAGGGAAGGGGTGGAGTGGGTGGTAAGGGAGGGGGTGGGGGCAGGGGGGAGAAATGACCCAAGCCTTGTATGCACATGTGAATAATAAAAGAAAAAAAAATTTAAAAAAAAAAAAAAAGAATAGCCATTTTACTTAACATTATGGTTTAAAAGGCAATGTTTAATGATACAAGAGTGTATATAGGATGCAAGAAAAGAATAAGAAAACATTGTATATATTTTTTCTCCATAAGACACATATTTATGGAATTCTAGTTATGGAGTACTTTTTGCTTGGAACAATAAAACCAACAGTAGTGAAAAATAGGATAAGACATTTAATTTAAAAACTCACTGTGTTCTTCTTAGAGATGCTTTGATTTGTAGTAGACAACCAAAGAGGTAACAGATGAGCTTCTGTTGTAAAGATGTAATCTTCTATGTCAAAAATAATGTCTTCTTTATCAGCAAATAGTAGGTAAAGATATTTAAACATTTCAGCCAAGAAGAAGGAATCCATTCTAAAATGAAAATTCACAAATAAATATGAGAACATTAAAAGCTTCTAAATGTCAGTAACTATGCCTATACCAACTTAGATGTCCAGAGATCTACAGAATTTATCAATCCTCCAGTGACCCCAAGTGTATCACAAGGGAATAACAAAGACCAGAGGAGCTGCCTACAGGTACATTAAAATGGTACAGGTACATTAAATCTTGTCAGCTTTGCAGACAAGATTTTTCTACAGGCCTTCCAATAAGGGAAAGCTCTCTACTTGTTCTATAGAGAATCTACAGCAGAGTTAACCCAGATGAATTTTATTAGATGAATCTTCAACTAGTATTAACAGAGCTAGATAAAGTCATACAACTTTGATGACATTTATGATGTAGCCATCAAGTGATAAATTAAGAAGGCTTTAAAGGTAATCATTTACAGTTACATAAAAAATATACAACACAAAGTCTTTGTAAATATTTATATTTTTTCAAACTATAAAGAGAAAACATGGAGAAGTGACGGGGAATGTGTAAAAGTACATGTGCCTTTAAACATGATTTAATGTTAAAATAACATTTTAAAGAAAATTTAAGTAAAATTAAGTGTCAGGATAAGAGCATAACTGGTAGATGGAGTTACAGTAATATCAAATTTAATGGAAATTACTACTTCCCAAATTATCCACAGTGTGCGCACTTAATCTTAGCCAAAAGGCCAAGAAGCAATGCATCCGAGGTTTTTGCAGTAATAAATAACTTGCAATTTACTTGCCAGACTGCATAATATCACACCTCTGGCCAAGCACAATTTCTGGCAATAGTAGGCACTCAATAAATGTTTGCTAAATTGAATGCAAGTGTAAAGAGCACTGCTAAAGAATGAGCTGGACAGGCAGTAGACTACAGCAGTAAAGCACATGGGTTTGGAAACAGAAGGATCTGTCACTAACTGGCTCTCTGATCACTAGGATATTATGGAAGAACTGTGGCCACAGTTTAGTGTTCTGTAATAGTAATACATAGCAATACACTCATAACATTCCTGTAAAAACTAGATAAGACACTATATGTTAATAATTTAGCATAGCACCTGGCATATGTATGAGATCAAGTCAACATTCACATTTAATTGCTTTTTTAAAATTTTGGAACAAAAATTTGCCTGTAAAGTTTTAAAACTTTTCTGTCCCATTTTGAATGTTGACCTTGTTAGAACAGACAAAAAACTTTCCTGTCAACTTGCAACATACTTATCATAGGCTAGCCTTTTCTGAAAGACTGACAGTTGTCACCATGAGCAAATGTTATTTTGAGAACTCACTCCAATGAGCAGGATACTGATATTTGGCAAATTTGAGAACTGATAATAAAACATGATTTGTAAGTATCTAAAAAAGAGTTAAGACATGGTAAAATCACTAAAATATGAATTGGATAAAGTTACCAAGTTGAGTACATCATAAGATTCAATTTGTACTTAAAAATAATAAACATATATTCAACATACAGACATTAAAAATGTCTGAAAGAGTATCAAATTGTTAACCAGTTAGGCATGTAGAGGAGTCTTTAAAAAGATCTCCAAACTTTTTTGTAACCATTTAATTTTTTTCTGTAATCATAAATAATTAGGAAAATATTTTTCTTTTGAAAACTGTGTGTGTGTATACACGTGCTGTGTGCGCTTGAGTGTATGCTGGTAAGCTAGATCTGTAGGGAATAAGCACCCAAAAGCAAACAGCCTGTCCCTGAATGTTCTCAAATGTCATGCCATGAAACACTGGTCACGGTCCTATCCAAAATTCTTCTGGTAATTTGGATGAAAAAATATGAATGTTATTTTTCCAAACTGCAGATCACTGAACACTGGTAGTTTAGCTAAGGGACTAAGATTACTGAGATGATACTCAATCTCTCCTTTTAATCTAGAAGTGAAAGTAAAATCAACAAATGGAATTTTCCTGGGATAAAGATAAAGTCCTTCTCAGTTTTCACTAAAATAAAACAAAAGTAATCTGCTCAAGAGTATAGTGGAGAGTATCAATTTGTCAACAGGCTATAGTTAAGTAGTTGGAGTCAGCCACAAGCTCACTGTGAGTGGCCACAAGAAATCTGGTAACAAATCTAACACACACAAATAACGCAGTATCATGAAGATCAGTGGTTCTCAGGTGAGAGGTAAAATCGCCCATGAGGCATGGTGAGCTAGTGAAGCAAAGGCCCTCATTTAGCTAGAAGGCATAAACCTGCCCGATTAACACCTTCCCTGAGTCCGGATGGTTACAGTGCTGCTGCATGTAATTTTTGTTTTCTTTTTGTGGGGCAAGGGATCAAACTCAGGCCTTCACATACTAGGTTAAGTGCTCTACACGTGGACATATTTTAAGAGATATTCTATACCCTGAAATAAAATCAGAATGGAATAAAAGCAGTGGTCAGAGGTCCAGAAAAAAATGTCAAAAAAGAATACTTGGTTGGGGGTAGAAAAGTAGGACGTTAAATTCTGTTACCATTCTTCTACAGCACATACCACATGGTTGCAGTTATTTCTTTATGCAATGACCCTTCTCACTAACTACAAGTCATGGGACAGAGGGACTGGTTCTAATTTATCTTTCTGCTCTCAGACCTAAGTGCAGTGCCTGGCATATTGTAGGTGCTTCATTGCTGTTCTTTGAAGGAATTGCCAATATAACATGACTATCAAAAGACAATGTACTTTGATTATAACTTTGATCTAACCTTACAGTGTGACCTTGAACAAGTTCCTGAATTTCTCCTCTTGAGTTCTTTATCTTTAAAATGATTACTATGGAATTACACTGCAAAGGGTTGTTGTAAGGATCAAATGAGTGCTTAGGAGAATGCCTAGAGTGCAGTAAACTGTCAATAAATGTTACAGACAAACACACAGGGAATCTGCTTTCCTTTCTTGTTATCTATATGCCTCCTTGCAGAAGAGCACCATTGCTCATGGATTATGGTCAGAGAAGGGGGCTCTAAGCCTAGATTACCGTTATTTAAATATTCTGAGTGAAGGACTGGGGGACAACCCTACTAGTAGATGATGAGTGCTCTATCTCTCATGCCTTTAGTCCCTCTTCTGGAAACTTCTTTCATCTTCTAACCTGTCCATCTTGACTGATGTGCTTCATAATCCAGATCTTTCATTATTGTCTTGTTGTTTCTAACACTTACACAGTATTTAAAAGCTATTACCACCAGGCATGATGGCTCACACCTGTAATCCCAGATAATCAGAGATGGAGATGGGAAGAATCACAGTTCAAGGCCAGCCCAGGAAAAAAGTTAGCAAGACCCCCATCTCAATAAACAAGCCATGCATGGTGTTTCACAGTTGTATTCCCAGCTATGCACGAGGCTACATGCTAGCTAGGGGAAAAACTCAAGACCCTACCTAAAAATACCTAAAAGCAAAAAAGTGCTGGGTGTGTGTCTCAAGTGGTAGAGCACATGCATGGGAAGCAAAAGGGGGCGCCAAAAAAAAAAAAAACACTTACCAAAGGCAGGGAAACACATTTATAATACTCCTAACAGCAAGGTTCTGATACACACAACAATCACTCACTCATCGAGTTAAAATCATTTGAGCACTTACTACACAGCAAGCACTAGGATAAAAGCAAACTTTTCAAAAAATTTAAAGTCTACTCAAGAGAGTTACACATACACATACACATACACACACACACACACAAATGCCCTTTGTAAATACACTGAGTTACCTGAATCCTAACAAATAGCTGTATTTTGTGCTGTATCAGAGCTACTCTGAGGAAAGGGGATGTTAGTGATTGTTTTACCTGTCTTCATGACTTCCAGTACGGACATCCTTCATGGCAGCAAATCCACAAGGCACTCTAGCGTATTTATTTAAATTTTCAATAAGTGTTTTCCCTACTTCAAGGTAGTAAGGATCTCCTGTAGCCTATTAAAAAGGAGAATATATGTATACATATATAGCTTACATACTACCACATACCCATCCATTTATCAAATATTTATTGAGTACCTACTCAATGCCAGGTACCATACTAGTCACTGGAATGCATGTTAGAACAGAACCAAGATCTGAATCACTTAAATAAATCATTGAACTGGTAAACCTTAGCCTTTAGATTAAATTTCTAATGCCCAAAAAGGTTGTCCAATTGAAAGGAAGAGACATGCTTTAGAAAGCAGCTGCAGAATATAAAACTTCTCTTTAAAGAAAGGTTTATAGAAATATTTTGAAAATCCACAGAATTTACATGTCAAGTGTGCATACTTCAGTAACTCAGCTAAATGAATACAAACTGTGATATATCCAACCATTATAACATTAAATAACAATTTCTATTATAAAGGAGTGAGAGGTTTAACACAGAATGGGGGCCAAAAAGCAAAGAGAAGTAAAATATCTTACTTTATATAAGAAGTAGGTACTTTCTGCAAACTCTGGCCTTAAAGGATGTTGAGCCCAATGTACCCTGAAATCTGTAGTAAATGCCTGTACAAAATAACATATAAGTAGATTTAAGATGTGATTAAAAAAATACACAAGCAGCTCTATAATTCACAGAAATAGATTAAATCATAGACAGGTAAAAGTAAGATATAAATATTTTCTTCTAAAAAAACATTGATTTTCATTGCAAAAATCACAATTCATTGACTACTTTTTAAAAAACCATTTGGGTCTTAGGAAAATGAGGAAAACTAAGTTATAAACTAGTAATACTAATACATGGATTCTGACGGACTGTATAATTTTTTCTTCTCTCCACCATCCTCCTAATTATTACTTCCTATTTTTCACATTTCCTTTTAAATTTTTGTAGTTCACAAAACACACAAACACCTATCTATGATGTACATGACATTTTCATGTATGTATACATTGTGGAATGGCTAAATCAAGCTAATTAATGTATGTTTTACCTAACATACTTATCTTTTCTTGTCTGTGATGAGAACAATTAAAATAGATTCTCTTAGCTATTTTCAAGTATGTATATTTCTATTTTAGCATATGTTTTCTTTTATAGTGACCTCAAACTGTCTCTGAAATGAGAAAGGGAATTACTTACAAACAAAATTAGTCTACTTGAGGTTTATTTATTAACAGTCAACTCTTTTTTTTTTTTTAAAGAAAAAGCAAATAAAGTTTTTATGGGAAAAAAACTTCATTTGTGATACATATACTTAGTGAAAATCACAGATACAAATTTTCTCCAATGCAAAGTCTTATTTGCCTGAGGGCTAATAAAACTATACCTTCTGAAATAAACACTTCAGGAAGCACTCTTGGTTGGTGGGACCCATGGGTATCTCACAGAGAGTAGTCAACAATCAGACAGAGCAAGGCCACGCACACATTTGGAAATTTGCAATGGTACTTTTCTTTTTGGGGGTTCTGAGGTTTGAATTCAGGGCTTCACACTTATGAGACAACTACTCCATTGCTTTGAGACACATCTCCAGCACTTTATGTTCTGGTTATTTTTGAGATAGGGTCTCACATTTTGCTCCCACCAGTCTGAAACACTATTCTATTTTATGCTTCCTGCTGCTGTTGTGATGATAGGTGCATACCACCATGCCCAGTTTACTCAGTTGACATCAGGTCTCATGAACTTTTTTGCCTGGCATGGATGAGCTCCTCCCACTCTTAGCCTCCCATGTAGCTGGGATGACAGGTGCATGTCACCTCACCTGGCTACTGGTTGAGATGGGGGGTCTCACAAACTTTTTTGCTGGGGCTGACCTCAAAACATGATCCTCACAATCCTTCTCAGCCGCCTAAGTAGCTAAGATAATAGGTGGGAGCCATCAGCACCTGGCTATAATGTTACATTTCTGGAAAGTCCTTAAGTATGCTATTAAAATCTTGTCACCATGACCAATACCACTCCTAGGGATATACCCAAAGGAATGTAAACCTTTGCAGCATTATTCACAAGATCTAAGCTATGGAAACAGCCAAGATGCCCCACTACTGATGAATGGATTAAGAAAATGTGGTATTCACTCTTGGGGATATACCCAAAAGACTGTGACACAGGTTACTTCAGAGGCACCTGCACACCCAGGTGCATTGCAGCACTAGTCACAATAGCCAAGTTATGGAAACAGCCAAGATGCCCCACCACTGACGAATGAATCAAGAAAACGTGGTATCTATACACAATGGAATTTTATGCAGCCATGAAGAAGAACGAAATGTTATCATTTGCTGGTAAATGGATGGAATTGGAGAACATCATTCTGAGTGAGGTTAGCTTGGCCCAAAAGACCAAAAATCATATGTTCTCCCTCACATGCGGACATTAGATCAAGGGCAAACACAACAAAGGGATTGGACTTTGATCACAAGATAAAAGCGAGAGCACACAAGGGAGATATGAGGATAGGTAAGACACCTAAAAAACTAGCTAGCATTTGTCACCCTCAATGCAGAGAAACTAAAGCAGTTGCCTTAAAAGCAACTGAGGCCAATAGGAGAAGGGGACCAGGAACTAGAGAAAAGGTTAGATCAAAAAGAATTAACCTAGAAGGTAACACACATGCACAGGAAATTAATGTGAGTCAACTCCCTGTATAGCTATCCTTATCTCAACTAGCAAAAACCCTTGTTCCTTCCTATTATTGCTTACACTCTCTCTTCAACAAAATTAGAGATAAGGGCAAAATAGTTTCTGCCAGGTATTGAGGGGTGGGAGGGAGAGGGAGGGGGTGGGGGGCTAGTAAGGGAGGGGGTGGAGGGAGGGGGGAGAAATGACCCAAGCATTGTATGCACATATGAATAATAAAAAAATTTAAAAGAAAGAAAATGTGGTATTTATACACAATGGAATTTTACTCAGCCACAAAGAAAAACGACATTTTGTCATTCACATGTAAATGGATCGAACCAGAGAACATCAACTTTAGTGAAGTTAGTCAGGTTCAGAAGGTCAAAGGCCACATGTTTTTTCTCATATGTGGAATATATATCTAATACAAATACCAGCAATATTATGAAAAACAGGTCACCTAAGGGGAGTTCACCTATGAGAGAGAGATGGGAAAAGAAGGAAGTTAACAAGGTGAATATGGTTGATATACTTCCTATACAAGAATGAATACAGAATTTTTAAACTTGCTGAAATCACCATAAGGGGACTAAGGTAGAAAGGAGAAAAACAGAGGAGATGAACCTATTCGAATTATAAAACATACATACATAGAAATGAAACAAGGAAACTCCCTGTATAGCTATCTTAAACAAACAAAAATGTCATTTTGTTTCTTACAAAAATGAAGAACAGGAGGGTACAACAGGTCCTGTTGGAGGGGTAGTACCAGCGCAAGGTGGGAGGTAGTATGGCTAGGGTAGAGGAGGGTAAATATGGTGCCAATATTGTACATACATGCATGTAAATGGAAAAACGAGACCTGCTGAAACTACTCCAGAAATGGGGAAGGGAGGATAAAGGAAAATAATGGAGGGGGTGAATTCAACTATTATAAGAACTTTTGTAAATGTCACAGTGTACCCCTAGCACAACAATTAAAAGAAAATTTTATAGTGTCAATCTACAAAGAATATTTATTACTAATACTATATATATGGAAGAGTATTTCTGTCACCATGAAGATTTGACTTCCTCCAAATTTCCAGGAAGTGTGTGTGACCAGCAAAAGTATAGCTAATGCATATAGTTTCCATCAAACAAGTTTTGGCAAATAAACAAGATCTGCCTAGCTGGTAGGTATATATAAAAGATAAATGAAATAGTATTGTATGGGGGGGGGGAGGGTATAGCTCAGTGGCAGAGCACTTGGCACACACAAGGCCCTGGGTTTTGTCCCTGGCACAGCATACACATAAAAAAAAGAGAGAATGAGAATTCTGAGATGGGGTAGGTTAGAAAAGGTTGAGAAACACTAAATTGGGGATTATCTTTACATAAAATTAATACAATATCAACATTACCCTAAATTAGATTTCTCTTAATGCATGTAGAAAAGCAAAAACATACTAATACTATAAAAATCAAAGATAAATACCAGGAAAAATGGTAAACATATCTTTAGATGATATTTTCTACCTTTAAAGTAACAATTTATAGTATATATGCAAATGAGCATCTCTAAGATTATTTGCTTACCTCTGGAAGAAAGTTGTGCTTTTTAATGACCTGATATAACATCTCATGAGTCTCAATAGCAGGTCTAATATCCCCCTTTAAAACCTAGAAGTCAACAACAACAAAATGACCTATATGAGTTCATTTTATCTCTAATCATTAAACAGAAATGCATACATAATACAACTTTGGAATGTGACTACATTTTGTTGTTTAATTTTAGAGATCACAAGTATGTTTAATTAAAATAAATGTATATTACTGTTAAGACAGTAGAGCTCTTTATACCTGTAAACCCGGAAAAAAGGCAAGCAAAGCATCCATCCAAGTCCGAGCATTCAGCATTGGCTTGTGGATATGCACATCAAGAAGAAGAGGTGGCTGGCTAATGTACCTCATTATGGCATTGTAGTGCTGAAAGAGCACAATAATGTGGTCAGCAAAGGAAACAACTTACCACTCTACACACATCAGAGAGCACAGTGAAGAGATTAAGCCTCAATTTCTATGCATTCATAAATAAACTCACTGTCAACTAACTATGTAAATATTTAAATTATCTTAGACGGAAGAAATATATCTAAAATATTATATTCCCTTACATTCTTTAAGTCAGATACAAAGGCTGGGGATGTAGCTCAGGGTAGAGCACTTGCCTAACATATGCAAGGTCCTGAGTCAATTCCCAACACCACAGATACACACACACACAAAATCATAACTCATACAAATAAGAGATCTAGTATGATGTTAAACTGGTTCAACAGGGAATCTAAGGCCAGGTATGGTGGCACATGTCTATAAGCCAAGTAGTACTTGGGAGATCGAGGCAAGAGGATTGACAGTTTTGAGGCCAATCTTGGCTACATAGCAAAGTCTTGTTTCAAAAGAAAATAAAGACAAATGCATAAATTAAAGATTATATTTAATATGGGACGTGCTGAGGGGAACAGATCTGAACACCCTCATCTTCTGTGGGACTAGCCCGTGGTTACACTTTAGTAGACCAGCAATGCTTAGGCCTCTTTGGAATACAGCTGTAGGCTTCTCTATTGCAGAATTAGCTTTCTTCTGTAACCAGGAAGTTTGGACCCTTCTCAGCTGACATGATATTCTGGGCATACTACTGTTGAAACTAACATGTAGTTGCTGTTACCACTTGGTCTGTTATCCCTGCTTTTTATGTTCTTAGGAACTCTTTTTCTACTTCTTTTACCTTCTTCTCTCTCCTAGTATTTCTCAGCTTTGAAAACAGGATGAGTTGTGTTAATGAACCAACAAAAATAGTTGTCTGTCCTAATTCACCCTTTTTTTTTTTTTTCCCTTGGTGGTACTGGGAATTGAACACAGGTTGTTAGGCAAGCAAGAACTCTACCATTTGAGCCACACACCAAGCCCTCAAGAAAATATTATTATAATTAAATAATATATGTGATATTTTAAAGTATTCAATCGGTAACTTTTTAGGAGGTTTGGGGACTTTTTTCCCATGGTAGTAGGGTTTGGCCTCAGGGCTTCACACTTACTAGAAGGCTTTTAGCCTGACCTTGTCCAACATCATCAGAGAACACTGATGAAAAAAAAAAAAAAAAAGCCACACATTTAAAGACAAACTATTTTTAGATTGTCACTTACGTAACTGAGTTTCTGTCAAAACCTGGACTCAGAAGAAACTGGCTATAAAACAGAAAATTGGGTAAACTTACTGTGTTAAATCTTTCCAGAAAACTGTCATCTCCAAGCAAGACATAGGCTTTCAGCAGATACTCATAATATGAATCAATCCCTGCTCCAACTCCACTGTCTATAGAAGATACATATAAATATGATCTTTCATTAGCCAAGTCTTAAAATCCTCTGTAGAGTATTAATGAGGGTACTAGAACAGCAACAATGAAAAATATGTTTGAACATGAAACTGCTCAAAGCAAAAGTTACATTTACAGAAATATTAGCCCTATTATATGACTAACAGTTCCCTTGTTGACATCAGTTTGCTTAAAAAATTAAAGTGCAAAACTGTTTACCAATGTCTTCTTTGAAAGAAGGTATTAGCAAAGCACAGATATATGGAAGACAGAAATAGAAATAATAGTGACTTAGGTAACAGGAACTGTAAGGATATAAACATAAGAAGGATAAAAACATAAGAAGGGTAAAATAGCTTTAAAAAGGAAAGACCAATATGTAGCAATTAAAAACAAAGATTTTAATTGAAAGGACTCAAAGAATACCAAAAGAGAGAACAAAACCTGTATCTAAAACTAAAGTAACATTTTCAGAAATTTCTTTCTTTTTTTTTTTTTTTTTTGGCAGCACTGGGATTTCAACTCAGGGCCTCACACGTGAGTCACTCTACCAGTCCTTTTTTGTGATAGGTATTTTTGAGATCAGGAACGGTTTGCCCAGGCTGGCTTCAATGGCGATCCTCCTGATCTCTGCCTCCTGAATAGCTAGGATTACAGGTACAAGCCACTGGTGCCCAGCTCTCTCTTTGTCTTTGATATTTATATAATCTTACAGAAAGAAAGAGTTGATCATATACTAAGGCATTAAAAATAAGAATGGTATCACATTTTTTAACAGGATAAAAGAGGACAACAGAGTTATATTTTCCAAAACTTGAAGGAAATAAGTTAAGCTGAAAATTATATACAGCTAAACTATCACTGAAATATGAGAGCACAATAAAACTATCAGGCATATAAGGCTCCCACAGCTATTAAAAACTGCTGATAACAGTTGGGGATGAAATACAGTCATCCCTGAGTATCAGCAGACAACTGGTTTTTATCCCTGTGATACCAAAATCTAAGGTTGCTCAAGTTCCTTACTAAAATGGTGCAGTATTTGCATATAACCCATGCACACCCTCTCACACTAGGGTACATGGTTGTTATACTATATTGTTCAGGGAATAATGACAAGAAAAAAGAAGGCTGTACATGTTCAGTGTAGATGGAATTTTTTGTCCATCTGTAGTTGGTTGAATCCATGGAAACAGAACCCATAGATACAAAGGGTTGACTTAAGAGACAAATCCAGATGTTATAAGTGATGAAGTATAAGTAACTACTTTGATAAAGTTGTCTTCTTTAAATAGACAGAGTATGAGGGAAGAAGGGGAGGGGGTGGGAGAGACAGAGGGGAGGAGGGAACACTAAGACCAAAGAGAAAACAAACTCTTAATCAATAAAAACTAAATATTGATATAATATCAACGTAACTGTATAAAGGTGGTGCTGAGAGACACAGAGACAGAAGAGCATGCTAATGTTTATGTTTTAAGGACATAGATACAGGTAGCAATTCAAACAGAAGGACTGGTCACTCTCATTTCTCTAGAGATGGCCCACTTTCAGTCTATTGAAGGTGTATTCCTTTCATAATAAACTTTACTATCACTTTCAAAACACAACAAAAGGATTAAGGGTCAAGTGTGATGGATCGCACCTCAAATCCCAAAAGGAGGTTGAAATAGGATCATGGTTCGAAGCCCAGCCTGGGAAAAATTTAGCAAGACCCTATCTCAAACACAAGCCAGATGTGGAAGTACATGCCTATAATCCCAGTTACTGAACAGGTAGAAGTAGAAGGATTGCTGTCTGAAGCCCACCCAGGCAAAAGTGAGACCCTCTCTGAAAAACTAAAAGCAAAAGGACCGGGGTTTGGTGCTAGAAGTAAAGCACTAACAAGCGCAGGGCCCTGAGTTTAATCCCCAGTAATGCCAAGAAAACAAAACAAAAAAACCCATTAAAAAAGAAACACAGAAAAGGTGTGACATACTGAAATAACAGTAAAATAGTATAAAAAAGTCTAAATATACTATAAATATCAATAGTAAATAGACTCAAGTCAACAATTAAAAGACAAAGCTGACCAAATTAATTTAAAGATATGTAAATTTTACAAAGAATACACTTTGTAACATAAGCACCTGCAACAATTGATGTAAAAGAATGGGGAAGGATGTGTGGGATAAATACAAGATGAAGTTGAAGCAGCTATATATTACTATCAGATAAAATATACTTTCAGACAAAGTACTAGAAATGGAGAGAGTCACTTCATAATGACAAGGGGCTCAACTAAGAAGAGAAAGCAATCTGAAACAAATGCACCCAATGGATCAAATACATATGTAAAACTATAGAAAGATCAGGGTTGAAATTTCATCTACCTTTATTCTTGACAGGTGAAGCAAACAGAAAATCAGTAGGGTTCACACATTTTTAATAACTGGGTGGGAATATAAATTAGCCCAACCACTGTGCAAATCAGTATGGAGGTTCCTCAGATTAAAAACAAAACTCCCATATGATCCAACTATACCACTTCTGAGTATACCCCCAAAGTAATCAAAGTCAGCACAGAACAGATAGCTGTAAATCCCTGTTTATCATGCACTGCTCACAACAATCAATGGATGAATGGATAAAGAAAATGTACATGTGTATACATACACACACATCATGGAGGTTTATCTAGTCATAAGAAGAAGGAAATGATGTCATGTGCAGGAAAACAGAAGACACTGGAATTATCACATTAAGTAAAATAACCCAGGCTCACAAAGACAAGTATCACATTTTCTCTCATATGTGGAATTCAGCGGGGAAAAAGGAGAGGGGGCAGAGGATAAGAGAAGGTACCAGAGAGGTGAATATGATCAAAGGACATTATACACATTATGAAAATGTCATAACAAAACCCATTACTCTGTACCATTGTGTACACTAATAAAAACAAAATATAACTTGAGAAAACTGAAATATAGAATTCTACATACAGCAATTAGAAAAAATTTTTTCTTAAGAACAAAGTTTTTACAAAAAGTATGTTCTAGACCAAAAGGAACACTTCAATAAATTTCAAAGGTGTCACACAGACCATAAGCATTATATGTAATATATAGACATATATATATATACTTTTTATGAAAACAGATGCAATACACTTTTTTATAAAAAGGAAAGCAAAAATCAATGTAAGAATTATGACTATTCATATGCAGATTATAGATCTAAAACAAATTAGCAATATTTTGGGATGCAGGTCACACTAAGGGGAGGTTGTGCACATGAGGGAAAGGACAAGGGAAGGAAACTAAAACTTGAATGTGGTTGATGTGCTCTTTGTATAGAAATGAATATAGAAATCTTAAACTGGCTGAGGCCACCATGGGAAGGGAACTAGGGAGGAATGAAGAGAACGAGAGGAAATGAACCAATTTGGGTTGTAAGACATATATGCATGGAAACAACACAACAGCAACAACAGCAAAAAAGAATTATGGCTACTTCAGTTGGGAGGATGTAGAGGTGTAGAATTACAAAGATAGGGGGAATCTAGGCCCAGATACAGCAGGATGCTGGGAAATAAGTCACTATTGTGATGAATGGTCCACTAGCGGTGCTTATTAAAAAACTAAGTAAAATGGGCTTGACCAGTGATAAGAGGTTTGTGTCATATGTCAATGACTGATTAATTCAAAATTAATTACTATTAATTTATTTATACCTGAAGTCCAAAGTGGTTTTAAAAAAAACTGCAGGGTGGAGAATGTGGGGAAAGGCCATAGGGGGATGAATATAGTACAAATACTGCGTACACATGTATGAAAATGGAAAACTGAGACCTGTTGAAACTATTACAGGAATGGAGGGAGGGAGAGATAAAGTAGAATGATGGAGAAGGTGAATTCAAGTATGATATATTTGATATACTATAAGAACTTTTTTAAATGTCACAATGTACACCAACCCAGCACAACAATAAAAAAATTTTTTTAATTGCAGAATTCTAAAGTTGGTTCTTTTTCAGGAGCCATTTAGATAAAAATCAGAAAAAAATTTTATAATATCAGAGGCAATATGATTACATAATGTTCAAATTAATAATTATATGTTTTTATTTATTTAGATTCGGCAATTGTTCTTTATTTTATACTTACACAAAATAAGCGTTTTGGAAAATAGAGAAATGTTTTAGTCTCATTAAGAATACTGTAGTATATTTCCATTTCTCAATGCTTATTTTATAAGGGAGTTTTAAAACATAAAACCACACTCTTTACACAATATTATATTTGCTCATATAACACTGCTACATGTTTATTTTCTTGCATCAATTCATCTTAATAACTTAATATTACAACACTATGTAAAGTAATTGTATCAGCTATTCTGCTATTGGTGGTCAGTAAGACTTTCTCAGTATTAGCAATAAATATGTGACGAACACTGTTGGGAACAATTAATTTTCTATAGTTCATATTACATTCTCAGGCTAGATTCCCAGAGTCAAGTGACTCGTCAAAGAGACCAACATCGCATTAGTGAGTACTCCTTCATAGTAAGAACAGCACATGCCTGCCACCATCTAAGCACTTCACAGGGACTAATCACCTCTCAGAAGAACTCTACTAAGCACTATTAATAGCCTCACTTTACAGGTATGTATAATGAGCTGCACAGAAGTCAAACAACTTGCCAAAGATCACATGGCTGGAACTCCAGCAATATGGCTCCAACATCATAGGGCTACTATGTTACACTTTATTTCTGGAGATAGGAAGAAAATAGGGATTTTGATGCCATCATTAAATCCACCCACTAAATGACAACTTGATGTGAAATGGCTGAAGTACTCCCAAAGAAATTATCTTACACCTGTAATGCTATACAGACCAAGGCATCAAGCAGAATACTATTCCAAAGATTTTTTTTAAATTTCCAACCATTCTGAGAAAGCAAAGGTTTGATTTCAAAAACCCAATTTACATACCTTTTCGTACCCAATCTCCAGTATGAATATTGATCGTCACACCCACTAAATTACTACTTCGCTGTCTTTTTTCCCAGAGAAAATCAAGAGCTTTCCTTGCATATTCCTATAATTAAAAAAGAAAAGCATACTTGAAGAACTGTATGCCTGGCAGAAAGGAAACAAACAAATTAAAGCCCCAGAGGATATTTTAAGAATTAAGAAATATTCTTAAAATGACCACTTCTAATATAAATTTCCTTAAAGTCATATCTTGGCTCTTTTTCAGCCAGTCTAAGAAGGACTCCAAAAATGCTATTTAGTGTGAGTGATCTCCCTTGAAAACCATCTATGTTCACCTACTCTTGTAATACAGGTTCACATTCACACACATGTATTATTACATTACATTAATTGTGGACATAATTAAGTGTACTTGTTAAAGTAATTTCTATTAGTGAAATGCAAAGTAAAAATCTCCTTAGAACTTATTTAGAAAACCGGAAGAGAATTTCAAGTTGGTACGCTATCTTTGAAGCAAATCATTTTAGTTGGGTATGGAGGATGGCAGTCCCGGGATAGCCCTGGCAAAAAGTTCATGAGACTCCATCCCAACCAATGGCTGGATGTGGAGGTGCACTTCTTTCATCCCAGCTAGGAGGGAAAGCACAAATTTAGAGGATCAGATCGTGGTCCAGGCCAGCCTAGGCTTAAAGTAAGACCCTATCTCAAAAATAACCAACACCAAAAGGGCTGGTAGAGTGGCTCAAGTGGTAAAATGCCAGCCTAGCAAGCATGAAAGCTCAGAGTTCAAACCCCAGTACTGGTAAAGCGCCTGCCTGGCATGCGCAAGCCCCTAAGTTCAACATCCAGTACTCCGAAAAGCAGTACTTAGCACTTGCTAAGCAGGTGTTTTACCACTTGAGCCATGCCCACAATCTTTTTGTTCTATTTCTTTACCCAGGTTGGCCTAGACTGTGATCCCCTTATTTTAGACTTCCTGCTATAGCTGGGCAACAGGCATATGCTATGCACCCAGCTTTTTTCTATTGAGAAAGAGTATCACAAACTATTTTTTGCCTGGGCTGGCCTGTAACTACAAGTCTCCTAATCTCAGGCCACCGTGCCCAGCTATTGGCTGAGACGGGGATCTCCTGCACTTTTTGCCCCACAATCCTCCCAAGCTCAGTCTCTCAAGTAGGATTACAGGTGTAAGCCAACGGTGCCTGGCAGATCTTAGTTTTTAAATGACATGCAATTTTGTAAGTGAAAAGTTGGTAAATCAAGTAGGCTATTAAATATTTATTTGGAAATACCAAACTTATAACCTGATGGTAACTTTTTCTTTTATTCATTTATTTTTATCTATTACACACTAAATTTAAAGGATTTCTGACCAAATCCTTGACTTTGGATAATAAAAATGTTATGCAAGTTTATAAATTTCAATGCATGAAAATATTTAGCACTGTAGAAATACTACTTTAAAAGAAAAAAATCATTAAACCAAATTTTCACTTGTAAGTTTAAAAATAGAGTATAAAATTGTTTTTAATTCTGCATTCATGAAAACCTTTGTTTTTAAACAAAGCAGTTTACAACTTTAATTAAATAACAGAATTTCAGAGCCAGAAACCTTGTTACAGACTACATTTCCCTCCTTATTCTTATTTTACAGCCAAAAAAAACCAGGACAAGTGAAATTAAAGATTTAACTAAAGTTTAAAATTTAATTACAGGTCAACTAATGTAAGAATTCAGTTCTCTTCATATACTAGAATAAGACTTTTTCTGACAAGGGCCAGAAAGTAAATATTTTAGGCATCTGAGTTACATTGTAAATGGTCACAGTTTCTCAACTCACTGTGGCACAAAGTAGTCATAAACAAAAATAAGTAATTGAGCATGGTTGTATTCCAGTAAAACTTATTTTAAAAAAAGGCAGTGGCTGGATTTGGCTCACAGACTGTAGTTTACCAACTCTCTAATATATCAAGGCTATGTCAACTACATCAGGTTGCTTCCCTGAAAATAAATTACTATATATTCAAGAAATTTTAAAAAATCATGACTTTCAACAGATTTACTTTAAAAAACATGCAAAACATCCCAGCAGAAAGTATGTGAGGTCTGAGTTCAGAAAGATCTGGATCCTAACTCCAGCTCTACCCATGCATCCACTAGCTGTGCAGGCCTCTTGTCCCTCTTTGAGCCCCATTTCCTCACCAAAACTGCACTGATATAACAGAGAGGTTGTAGTTCATGTTAAAAAGTATGCAAAATACCTACATTGTTATAAAGGGAAAATATTAGTCAGTAAGGTATAGGATAGAAATTTAAAAGATTAACCAATTGAACATGGTAAATCTGTTCTCAAGACATTTGAACATATAGACATACATACACACAAAAACCATTTTGCTTGTTTTATTTTTTTATTCAGATTCAATATTTTAAATGTTGGTATATATTCCCTATTTCTGGTCTTACGATGTGCACCATCTGTTGAAATTTTAAAAATTCACCTAAGTCATACATTTGAAAACGAGGGTACTTTGTACAACTCTTACACAATGCTTAATTTATTTTTTAAAAAATGCCAGACATAGCTAGACCGCAATGTGGAAGGTATTAAATCTTTCAGATAGTGAATAACATTTCCCTTGAAGTAAACAAATTTACAGATTAGCTGTCAATCAAGAGATGCACACAACATTTCATTGCTTTAGGAGCCCAGTGAACGTTCAGTCACAAACATGGAATTTCATATAAGACTTCTATATCATGGAGCCATTAAATTTATGTAATACAGCTAAACAATATTCTTAGAAGTTAAAATTTTACTTTACAGTTTATGAATAAAATGCAAAGTTGTATTTAATGTAGCTGTCTCATGACCTGTTTTTGACAATTAAAATTTTTTTAACAAAATTGAGATAAAAAGTTAATTAAAATAACAGCAATCCTAATAGTTAGCCAGTAGAAAATAAATATAAAGTTAGCTATGCCCAATACCCAGAAGATCAAAGACCATGAAAAGCAAACCTCAAATATTGTCGCTCCTGTGAATCGACTTAAAGCAGCAAACTCAAGGATCAAGGTACCTGCACAAGCTGTACAGGTATCTGTCTCAGTTCCCGTGCGAGCTTCCGGTTTTCTGATGCCAAACTTCAAATTAATCTAAATACAACCAAAACGTTATCATTAGCAACTATCAAGAGATAAGAGATTTCTGGAAAAAAATTACTTTTCAATCAAGACTCTTTTTTTTTTTATCAAATCATGAACACAATTCATGAAATAACTCAACAATGAAATTCAATCTGATGATCTTTGTGACTTTCCAATGGAAATATAGGGAATTTATTCTAAGTACATAATCTTTATGGGGCAAATAAGCATCTATTTAGTTCTTTCCTTGATGCACATCATCATAATAATAACACAGAGAACAGAGAAAATACCTTCCATAATGATTTTGTTCTCTAGACAGTTCCAACGAGTTAGTGCAAGAACAGTAGACTAGACTTAAAAGGAATTAGGTCTGAGATTTTGTGATAAACCAGTACTACATTAAGTAGCACTGCAGAGAGAAAAAACTGATTCCGAGAGCATGAATTTTAAAGAGATTAGAATTTTAAGTTCTAAAATATAAAAAATATTGCCTTGTTGGCAGGTGTTTTTTTCAAACACGTATTTTTTTTCTTAATCCAGCACTCAAAAGAGGTATTTCTTTTGTAATTCAAAGAAAAAAAAATAATACTATAGTGTGAACTTGGATGAACTAGAACTAATCTGCCCAGAACTAATTAAAATTAGATTTTTTTTTTTGCTATATTGGGGATAAATTTAGGGTGTCAAGAAGAGTACTAGGTAAGCGCTCTACCTTGAGTCATGCCCCCCAACCACAAAAAAAGGAGGCACACACTGAGGATTTAAGATAATAAAATATTTTTTTAAATCAAACAGAAAACATCATGTGTATGTTTGTTCTTGGGTTATTATTCAAACTTTTATAAAGGAAGCTCAAATAAATTTGTAATTCAATTATCACTGGGTATACCTATTACCTTAATCAATACATCCTAGGAACTTCTAAACAAATACTCACTCAACAACAAACAAAACAAAAGTGAAATGTAAGTAAGACATACGGTATCTGTTGTCTTTAGTACTGCCATTTATCTGTTAATAGAATGTCACTTAAGGTATTTCCATGGCACTACCACTTCATCTCCACTCAGAATCATAATTTTTTTCACCATTTGTTCTTCTGGATGATTAAGTAGTTTTAGATACTTCTGCACAATGAACAAGAATGAGAAGTATCCCCTGACTCCTTATGCTGTCTGTATCCCTATCTAAAGATCTATAATTGAAAGCTGATATTAAGAATAATGAGCCTAAAATGAAAGAATCTGTAATTAAAATATTTAAATATATTAATTACACTAAGGTAAAATATATTAATTTTTATACATATTTGCAAAAGAATCAATAGTAACAAATATTTTCTGGTTAGTTCTGTTAATTACTATAATCAACTAATCAGTATTTATTATCTACTATGTAGGAAATATTATGGCAAGGTAAAAGGAAACAAATTTTTGCCTTCAAGGAGCTTAAAATCCAGACAGAGTAAACAGGACAGATATGAAAAGAGAGAAGAGAGTTAACAACGGAAAGTCATAGATAAGTGCCAAACAAAAGAAACTGACAAAAAAAAAAGTAAGACTCAGAAGAGAAAATATCACTAGATTGGAGTAGTTATGATCTAGGAATGGTGAAATCAAGAGTAGTCATGAGCAAGCAAAAGCAAGATAGGAAAGAATAAATATTTAAAAACACTTTGAATAACTGAAGTTTTAGTATTAAAATATTTAATGTCAAAATTTTTCAAAAGTATTTAAGATGTTCATGCATTGAATTAGTCTTTATGTAACTGCTACAAAGTTTTATAAAAGGACTACTTAACACAACTATCAGTGCTGTCAGATCATTTTAATCTTGCAGCCTGAAGATAAGTAGAAGTAATAAATTTTAAAAGCAAAACCAAGATGCATTCTTGTCCCTAGGAGACACTACCATTTCTACAAGACGGGAAGGAAAAGTCAATGCTTGTTTTTGTTTTCACTTAGGGGCATCCTCTTGTTGACATCTGAGGTAGAAGACAGTAGGTTCCTATTCTCCTGACTAAGCCTCCAATGCCTGGGCAGAGCGAGAACAGGTTAACAGTTCCCATTTATCACTGTGGACATTACAAACAAGGAGCTTATTGCCTTACTTACTTGAAAGGCTTAAAACAAAAGGAGGTAAAAGTGTAATAAAGGCGTTATATTTGGAAGAAATTAGAACCTTTGTGAGAGTCACAAAGTGAGTTTTTAAAAGGACACATTTTTACAGAGAGGTAAAAGAATTACCTACACTACATTTACCTACATTATTTATTAGCTATACTGAAAAATCCTTAAAGTATGTATAAATTACAAAGGATTTTCTATGAACCCTATATTTTATAGATATAATCCATTCAAATTTAACAATAAGATCTATCTGAAAAGCTGGAAAGTTGCTTTTAACTAACTTTAAAGAAACAAAATTTTTAAAGTTTTTAAAAATGACCATTCCTGGCTGGGAACATAGCTCAGTGGAAGAATACTTGTCTAGCATGTGGAAGGACATGGGTTTGAAATCCATCACCACAAAAAAAGAAAGAAAGAAAAGAAAGAAAGACCACTGACACTTCCTTACAACAGCATTTCTGCCAAGCAAAATCTTCTGAGTTCAAAACATTAACACAAATTCTATAAATGATGTGTGATGTCTAACAGAGACTGATTACACGCAGTTATTTACTAAGTACATCCAAGGAAGGGTGATGAGGAGACAGTTATTTTCTTCTGAGGTCCTCTCCAAAAAAATATTTAAAAATTTTTCTTGGCACTTCAAAAGATAAGGAAATAACATAGGTTTCTTTGCTTGCTATAATGCTCATAGTATCTTGTTTTGATTCTCTAAGTGTTTCTCCTGTTATGGTAAAAGTAAAGGAATGCTAGATTCCTCAAGATCCAGCACCTCTATTTATAGCAAAAACTAAAAATAGTTAGTAAAAGTAAATTCGACTAAGTAAATGTTGATATATTGTTTTCAAATAACTTTTCTCCTAATTTTAATTGACTGGGGGAAAATGATCAACAAATTTCAGTATACTAATAAGCAAAGAAATTCTCATTAAAAACCATTCCATGTTTTCCTTATGAAATTGGCAAACGAATGATAATATTCAGTGCTGGCAATAGTACAATGGCACTTTATGTAACACTGAGGAAGCCTACAAGTATCTTTCTGAGGAACAATTGGGCAAAAAGTACTCAAAGCCTTAAAATGCACTCCCTGTTCTGTGACTTATTTCCTCTTCTAATAATTTATCTGAAAGGAGAAAAGAGAAATGTATAAAAAGATGTATATAAGGATGTTCACAGGACAACTATTTAAAAGATCAGAAACTGGAAATTTAACTAAGAGGTTTAATTTTAGCCTGCTTCATTTAAAAAAAAAAACCAATTTAGTGGTCATGACCCACTAAATTGATGGGTAAATCAATGCGATGTGATTGCTGGTTTGAAAAGCACCAGCCTATACCATGCTACCTCATCAAAGGTGATTTCCTACTACAGACAATGAGCCTTACTTGATTTATATTGGTAGAGAAGTTATGTCAGGTAGTAGAGAAGGGAGGCCTCAAAGCATGTAATGAAATTAAAAAAAAAAAAAACTGGGGTTTTGGAGGAGCACTATAGATTATTTCAGCAGAGAGGGAAAATGATTTCACTGGGGTAGGATGGGTACATGAAGAACATCAGCAAGTCTATTACCAAACTACATAACAGGTGATCTACCCCTGGAGCCACTTCCCCAGCCCTTTTTGCTATAGTTATTTTTGGGGCAGGTTTTTGCTTTTCTTGCCCAAGCAGGTCTGGACTGCAATCATGTTTTGTATCTCCCACATAGCTTGGATGACAGGTGTGCACCACCATGCTGTTTTTTTTCACTGAGGTGAGGTCTCACTGACTCTTTTGCTGGGAGTGGCCACAAACTGCAATACTCCCGATCTCTGTCTTCCAAGTAGCTAGGATTACAGGCGTGAGCCTCCATGCCAGTCCAAAAAAGAATTCTTAATGTTAACAGTTAATGCAATAAGGAGAGTCAGTAAAACTTTTGAAAGTAATTTGATAATAATTATGTTTTAGCAAAATTAATTTTTTAAGTGCTCTGAATAATAAACCAGAGAAAAGGTGACTACTTTAAGAGGCTACAGTAGTTTAGAAATAAAATTATATTGGCTTTAATAGCCAATAGAAGAGGAAAAAATGATAGAGCTTTGTAAGGATGAAGATATCTGACTTGACTAAGGAGGAGAGAATGACTGTTAAAGAATGAAATCAGTCAGAAGAGACAGCTCTTTCCATCTTAATGGCTTTCTTCCCTCTGCTTTAAATATAACATTTTCTAGGAGGGGCAAAAAAAAAAAAAAACCTTCCTCAACTGACTGCTGCCAACTCTCTTATAACTACCAACACAGAAGAAATCCCCAAGTAAGTGCTTACATCCACTTAGCAGCCTTCCTCTACTTGAATCTCAAATTTTCTAGCACATCCCCTTTCTCACACTTCCTCTTTGCATCCATAACACTACCCACGAGGGTTTGCCTCCTACATCTCTTGAGTGCTCTCCTTTCCACTAGCTCACTTCCTCCTTGCGACAGATCTGTGCTGGGCTCTTTGTATCCTCGAGGGCCTTTGTTGAATGACACCTACCTATTCTCACTGCCCCAACTGTAACTCTGCTACCCACAATTTGCCCACTTCCTAATTCAGCATCTGTTTCTTTTGCAGCATAATCAATCTGTTACATGGAGACACAACAAAGTCTACACTAATCGAATTCTCACATCACTTAAATGTAAGCAAATTGAAATGTTAATATAAATTTGTTACATAGCTTTGATCACAAAAATTCATTTGTACACAGACAATCGTTCATTTTTAGAATGACTTACTCTTGGATAAGGAAGGCCACTGGTCGTATTGAAAGCTGGTAAAAGTTTGTAACCTAGTTGCTTTGCCATTTGGAGAAGCTCATCACTATACCACTGCATATATTCGCCTTTTTCTTTCAGCATGATGGCCAGTGAGTGTCCACCCAAAAGACCCCTGTGACCACAGACACCCAACATTATCCACAGCTTACAGATGCTTAAGGTCACCACCTAAAAAGGTGTGCGTATTCTGTCATCAACAACTTAGCATACGAAAAGAAACACTACAGAAGAACTTAATTCTTTACTGGTTACTCATTTTTTGCCAAAACTGTATATGGCCAATATATTTAAAAAAAAAAAATCAGATGTTCTGTGTTGTAATAAAGTATTTGGCATTCTTAAATTCCTTAATTTTTCTTAAAGAACAAGGAAGACACCGTATCTATTTTAACAAATGTGAAAAATTAATTTCAATGAATTTTAAATTAAATAATTACCATGAAATTTTTAACTTTCTTACTATAACAGTTAAAAATAAAAAACATCTTACTATATAGAATGTAAGATTAAAAAACTTTGAAAAGCAATATAACTATCTGATATTTAACTGAAGATGAACTTACTTTGACAAAAGGAAATGAGTCATAATAACATAAAGTCATCATTAAATACAAAAATTTACAATACTGAAACAAATTAATAAATCTTGTAATTTCATATTTTTAAACATCTCAAGAGTATTTCAAATTGTTGAAATGAAAGGCAATCCCATAAATTGAGTTTCATTTGGCTTCTCTGCCAGCGGTGCTTGGCTAAAAATAGCACACTATGAAAGCTAGTGAAGAAACAATGATATAGCTACTATTATTGTTCAGCCTGTGATTCCTTTTTACACAGGGATTACCTCTGATGAACCTACAGGTATTTCTAAAGACTGCTGCTACTTGACACAGCATAGCCCTGAGTTTCATAGGACCCTATTTTTAATCTTTTAAGCATAAGAAACTTATTACTCTCAAGAAATAAATAGCTCTAAGCTTTTGTTATTAAAATAATAGTTTTAGTCTTACACACTTACCCAAGAACTCTGATGTTTGTCTCAAAGACTGATACAACTACATCATTATCCAAGTTAACATCTCTTAAAACTTTTCTCACCGCATCTTCAAATTCTTTAGTTTTATTTAATACCTAGGAGAAGAAAATTAAGAAATAAAATTCTATTCTACCAAGTCAAGTAGAAATATCCTCAGGATGAGTTAGTAAAGGCAACTTAGCATACTTTTGACATTCAAAAAAGCGACATAAAATAATATTTTCCTTAAGTATATTAGGAAAATATACTTAATATACTGAACAAAATAAGTGCCTAATCATACACTTCTCCTTTAGACACACTGAAGTATCTTTAGGGCTTTAAAACACTCATCAAAGAAACTGATACTGGTGTCTTAATACAGACTGAGCATCTCTAAACCAAAAATCCAAAACCCAAAATAATTGAGTTTTGAATGTTATGTTGGCAACATTCAAAATGTTTCATATTTTTCAGTATTTCAGATTTCAGATTTTTGCAATAGGGATGTTCAATCTGTAAAGTTTATGACAATATTCCAAAATACAAAGTCTGAAATCTGTAACACTTCTAGTCCCAACCAATTTAGATAAAAGATAATTCATTCATTCGCTCTCCCCACCGCCCAATACATACATTACATAAAATCCATGACCTATTGGGATTTGGTTTCCAAGTCAGAATAACAAAATATCATCCGATTCACCAAGAGCTATCTTAAAAATTGCTCAGAAGAAACAACTTTCTTCATCTGACTGACCCTAAGCCACACACCTGCCGTCTTCACTCCACATGCCCCAGTCAATAAGGTGGCAGGGCAATGTTACAGCCAAAAGCAGGCCTTGTTTTGGTTCTGGTTCTTTCCTCACTACATATGTGATCCAAGTCAAGTTATTTCACTCTCTGAGCATGTTTCTTCATCTATAAAAAGAAGAAATAACTACTCTTGTAGGATTGTTTTCTTACATGAGGTAAGTATGTAAAAGCTTTTAGCAGTGTCTGACTTAATAATATTTAATACCACATGTTTAAAATCAGTACTATTATTAACACACATGTCTATAATCCTGATTAAACTAAAATCTCGGTGGATTCTTTTGGGGTTTTTTTTTTGGTGGGGGTGGTTCTACTCCTGGGGTTTGAACTGCCTCTTGCTTGCTAGGGCAGACACGCTACCATTTCAGCCACACCCCCAGACCTTTTTATTTTAGTTATTTTTCAAATAGGATCTCCAGTTTTTGTCCAGGGCAGTCTCAGATCATGATCCACCCACTTACACCTCTTGCATAGCTGGGATTATAGGCACATACCACCACAACTGGCTTATAGGTTGACCTGGGGGTCTCACTAACTTTTTGCCCAAGCAGGCCTCCAACAGTGATCCTCCTGATCTCTGCCTACTGAGTAGTAGCTGGGATTATAGGTGTGTACCATGTTGGGCCCTCAGTGTGTTCTTACAATGAGCTCCCTGAAGGGGTCACTGTCATTATATAGGCTGCTATCATTTTTCAGTTTAAATTAAGAATTCATGATTAGATGTTATTCAGAGCCCAGGTACATTAAAAATAGTTCACCTTTACTTGACTGTATAATCTCTTTGGTGGATAATATTGTGTAGTACTTTTTATTTGATCTAACAGCTTCATTAAAAATTTTAACTTAGGTATGAAATATTCCATAAGAGTATGTGCCTAAAATTTATGTCAAATTAGGGGAAGTCCTGAGTCAAATATAGTAGGAAGCCTATTTTTTAAACTAACTAGTTTCTTTTCTCAATCTCAAAATCCATGTAAACTCTACAGAAACAAAGGCAGATGCACCATAGCCTTTCTGTCACTTTTGGAATGAGACACAACTGTCTTACTCTCCCCATCCTCCCACGCACACACCTTTTGCTATCACTTTGCTAACCTTAGTCTTTCCCTAGTCTATCTCCTAAGAATTTTTCCCTGCTGGCCTCTTTTAACTTAGGTTAGCCTTCCTTCCACATGTGTTCATAGGTCTGAGTTGCATCTCTAACTGAAAAAAATGGTTTTTCCTCCTTCTTTCCAAAATAAAACCAAGAATAGTACCAATACTCTCTACTTCAGGGAAAGAATAAAATTGTGCGGAGTTATCTCTGCCCATAATTAGCTAGAAAATTCATTCCAACAGATCTGTCACTCAATGAGCTTCTTAGGCTCCTAACTGATAGCAGAAGAGGAATCCAGGTCTCCTCCTTTCCCTAGTACCCTTCACCTGTTTCAATATTTTCCTACATATTTAACAGTAATGTTGAATTAAAAGGCATACTGAAGATTTAGTGCTTGACTACATGACAATCAATTGAAACTAGATGGTTGAACAGCTAAATCTGGAGCTCAAACATGACAATACAAATTCTACTTGACATACTATGGTATGACCAAAATAAAAATGACGGAGTTGTGTGCAATATTATAACTGATCTGTCTTGTTAATATTTTCAAACTGCTAAATCACAAAATGAAAAATCATCACAGCTAAAGGCAAAGATAGTTAGAAATTCTAATACTTGTATTGACAAAAAGTTTTAAGATAGCATTAAGAAGGAAAAACATTCCAAGTACTTGAATTTCCTCTAATTCCTCCATTTAAATTCAAAAGGAAATGTTCATGATCATGATAAAAATCTGAACTAAATTTGTACATTTCCAAGCTATAATGAGTTACTTCGGTTATTCCTACTTGATAACATTGAAATTAAAAAGATCAAGATTAATTTTTTAAAGTATCATTTTAAAAATGTTTGTAAGACTTTTTTATTCTTGACTCTTCTTCAAGATGGCTTCAACAAACCGCCATGGCTTACCTGATTCTGAAGTAAAGATTAGTAAGGAATAATATAGTCAACAGGGATTAGTATTTACTCTAAGCCCTTGATGTTAAATACAGGGGTGTACAGAAGTAATTTGGCAAGATGATGGCTATCAGTATAATGTGAACACTTCTTGCTACTCCCCAACTACGAGAAGTTGTAACTCAGGTTACACCACAGCCTCATTAGTCAGAGGGCCCTTCTGAGTACCACACTGCAGCTTATCAGGAATGCAGACTCTTGGGCTCCACCTCTGGATCTGCTTCATCAGAATCTGCATTTTAGCAAGATTCCTATGTTCCTTTTGAGTACATTGAAATTTAAAAAGTACTGCATCATTGTATAGAGGCTCAAAAATTTTGGCATACATCAGAACCACCTGGAAGCTTGTTTAAAACAGACCAGTAGGCCTCACTCCCAGAGTTTCTGATTTATTGTGTCTGGGATGAGGCCAGAGAATTTGTATTTCTAACTAACTCCAGGTAATGCTGAGACTCAATGCCAAAGTGTTTAATCAGTACATTTGAAAACATTACCTTCATAATAATTCATGGCTGCCCAATCAGAGGTCAATAACTTCTAAATGTAGTAAAGTTACAAAGCCTAGAACCACTTTTTTCCTTCATTTCTAGGAATATTTTATAAAACACATATGGTACCTGTGGTCCACAGTCATGAAAATGAACTGAAAATCTACAGAAAAATGATGGGAAACTGCTATACGAAAAAATAAAGCCAAGATAACAGAGTAAGAAAGAAATATAAGTGCATCTATGGTCTTTTCTAACACACAGTTTCTCTTCCCCCCATACCACAGTAGACTCAGCTAGTTACAAATAGACAATACCCCCTTAGTTTCTCCCAGGTGATCATCTGTGCCTTACAGGATATTTCATATCTTTTTCTCTTCCCCTATCATTGCAGAAAACCTAGGACAGCTAAATCAAAATAAAGGCATATAGGGGCTGGAGGCATGGCTCAAGTGACAAAGCACCTGCCTAGCAAGGCTGAGACCCTGAATTCAAGCTCTGGTGGCATAAATAAAGGCATACAATATTCCTTCTACTTCTCACAGTTATTAGTGCAGTTTGCATATTTCATCAATCTCCTCAGTCATGGTTGCATTCTAAAACCAAAGAGAACTTTAAATTAGAATAACCTTAAATGGGAAGGTTTTTTTTTTTTTTTTAAAACTTCACAAGTGATCTTACTAAGCTACTATTAGGGCTGATAATAGTGAGGAAAGGATATAGAAACAATATTGGGAAATAAAGCCAGGTTCTGAAAATTTTTCTGCTACTCCAAAGAATTTTTGCCTTGTTTTTAAATTATTAATCAGCACTTGTGACATCAACTCAAAGTTAATAATTAATTATGCCATAAGGAAAATCCTTCAACCAACCTACTTTTATACTATAACAGCCTAAAAGTTAAACACTAGAAAGACACTGTATTTAGAAATCATGACATCTGGAACTCAATCTTCCCCCTGTGCCATCACAAACAGTTCTGAATCAGAATTAATGAAAATGACTTCTGAAACATATGAGATTGAAACAGAAGGCCAAAAATCATCACTTGGGTGCTAGGAAAAATAATTTTTTTATTTATGAAAACAGCACAAAAAAAGATTCTAATTTAACAATTTCATTACTACTGTGGCATATCATTATGGAACAAGAATGTTGATGGCATTTTCCAAAATCACTTTCTTCTAATAGTTTCAACCTCCAAGCAGGAAGAAAACCTTTCTAAGATGTCAGCACACAGGTTGACAACTCCATCAATCATTTGGGTGTCTCCATTATTCTATGTAATTCTACTTGACACTCACTTGACATCAATTCAACAATGTTAAAGATTTATTTTGAAGCAAAGATCTGACATCTTTCAATTCAGAAGGCTTCTATTCCACAGTTACTGCAGTGATTACATTATAAACTTGAGTGTGCATATCATGAAATTTATAAAACAGGTAATTCCAAGAAGAATTGAACCTACCACAAGAGTGTCCAAAGAATCAATCAATGTCAGGGAAAACCTAAGAAACAAGTATAATGAGATACAAAATATTAGAATCTGAAGTACTTCATCCTGAATGTATAAGTAGAATTATCTATATCCTATTGGCTGGTAGCTTCTAATAACCAGTACTTCCGAGTGTCTTAGTGTAATGTGAACTAAAGAGCACTGAAAGAACCTGAAAAGTCATAACATTCTATGTCTCTGAAGACACAGAGAAACATTTAATAGGTCTTTTCAAAACAAAAGAAATTGAAGCAGCAATATCTTATGTTAGTGACTTTCTACACATTTTTAAATTATATCAAAGTTATGTATATTTTAAAAGTTATATTCAGCTTAAACTAAATTTTCTCTAAAGGCTAAATTAATTTTTTAACAAAAGACAACAGAAAAGAACAAAGGAGCTTCATGTAATACTTTCAGCCATCTTTAAAATTTAGTCAATCCCCAGAAAAATGACTGCAAATAGCCTTTAAGAAATCTGAGTCTTAGATATTTTGGAATGCTATGTTACACCTTGTCCTTATACTCACTTTCCCAGGGCATCATCGACATCACCCCGACTTGGCTCCTGGCCTCTAACACGACCTCTACAGGTCAAAGGCATGAGTTCATCAGCTGGGTAAGCGTGTTCCTGCCAAGAAAACCTTAATAAGTCACTAAAGAAAACAAGAGAAAGTACACGTCATTTGGAGAATATGCCCTTCTCACACTTTAGAAACAAGTAAAACAAAGGTTACTCAAAAGCTGTACTAGCTTTACAATTTATAGAAGACTAAAAATTTTAATTACAAATGTAACACATGCTAGGAAAAAAAAATGCAAAAAAAACTTCTTTTAAAAAACCTCTAATATGATTTCTTTCCCCTAATCTGACTCCTCAGAGGTCACTATCATTAAGATCAGCATTTGTACTTCCAGATTTATTAAAACATATGCACACATATCATTTTTAATTTTTTTCTTTTTAAGGCAAGGTCTCTTAAATAGTTTGCATATAGCCCAAATTGGCTTTGAACTTTCTACTCTCCTGCCTTGGCCTCCAGAGTGCTAGAGTCCCAGGCATGTGCCACCCCAGCTAAGAGCTGAGACTTGACCAGATTCTCCAATGGTCAGCATAGTAGGCCTTATTAATCAGGGTCCTTTCTACTGGTGATCATAGGGATATGGTCCAGTGTCAAATATAACACTCATACTCACTCTCTCTCCTCCCCCATACATACACACAACACACACACACACACACACAGTTTCAATGTTGGTGATTGGACCCAAAGCCTCACACATGCTAGGCAAGGGCTCTACCACTGAGCTATATCTCCAGGTCCCTCATTTTAAAATTTTATTTATAAACAGGTGCTCATGCTATATACACATATTACTCTAAAATGTATACTTAAATCACAGGGGTTTTTTTTCACACTATAATGTTACGGACGTACTTTATTCTAGTAACTGCAAAATGATAATTTAATATTAACCAATATTTACTAAGTACTTATTTTCTAAGCACTATTCTATTCATTTAAATAATTTAACTATTTCAACACCCTTTGAAGTAGATTCAATTACCTTCATTTCTCTGATGAGAAAATTGAGGCCCAGAAAAAATCAAGTAAGTCCAGGTGATGCAACTTGCACGGACCCAAATTCAAAGGCAGGTAATCTGACGCTACAACCCTGCACCAAGCTCTGCTAGTACCTGTTCCTCCCAGTATTCCATAGTCCACATATGCTAAACTTTATTAATTGCTGACTTCAACTTCTCACCATATAAACACTGCTGCAATAAATGCCGATGTGCATGTATACCTTTCATGCATGTGCTAGTATTTTTGTAGATTACTAAAAAACAGACCTGCTGGGTCAGGCAGCTAGATAATGAATTTGTGATAGGTACTATGAAACCAAGGGAAACAGTTTACAATTTATTGTAGTCTAACATAGGAGATTCTCAATGCTTCACAATTAACTAATCATCTGGATAAAAATGGTATCCCAAGTTTCAGTATATTAATAAGGATATGCATCTACTTTTTTGAAATCTTTATTAAGTCTTTTACCCACTTTTTTAATTTATTGTTTTTGTGGCCAAATTAAACTGTTATACATTATATCTGTTACATACAGTAAATATTTTTCTCTGTCTTTTGACTTTTACTTTTGTTTATGGTGCTTTCATTTTAAGTTTTAAATATGTAGTCAAAGCTATCTCTCTCTTCCTTTGTGGATTCTGGGTTTCAGACATGCTTACAAAGACTACCCTGAGTCTCTGGAAACACTCTTATATAATTTTATTTTTCTACATTTAGATACTTACTCTATTTTTGTTTCTAATATGAAATAGGGATATAATAATATTGTTTCCCAAGGTAGCTAATTTTCTAAATGCTACTTATATTCGAAAAAATAATCTGAATAGTTATGAAATGCTTATGACATTTTTCTGCCAGATGTGGTGATGCACGCCTGCAAATCCCAGCACTTGGAAGGCCGATGCAGGGGGATCACAAGTTGGAGGCCAGCCTGGGCTACACATCAAGACTCTGTCTCAAGAGAGCAAACAAAAGGACCTCTTTTCTTTCCTTCAGAAATTTGAAGACACATTTCTACACCCCTCTTGCATTCACTGAGTATTGCTATGACAAAGTTTCCAAAACTAGTTTATCTTTTGTACATTATAGGTGACTTGTTTTTAATCACCTGACTGCCCATAAGATTTTAATTCTTCAAGATCAGCAAAAATATTCCCAATTACATGTCCAACTCACTCCCACTGCCTCTCATTCAACTCAGTTATCTAGATTCCAAACTCATAATTAGCAGGAACATGAAACACATGGTCAATAGAAATGAAAAGACCAAAAAAAAAAAAAGAAGAATCATCTTTAAAGTAGGCAAAAGAATACAAAAAGCATTGAAGACTAGTCCTTCAAGTATATAGAAAAATCAAGTGTTCAATGATTATTCCCTGAGAAGATGATTCTAGGCAATGAATGTTTTGATATAATTAGATTCCACATACAGCTATCAAATTCTGAATTTGATACTCTTGCTTCATAATTTTAATGATACAAATGTTTTTCAGCATGAATTCCTAATTACTTTTGCATGTATCTTTTCACATGTCCAATTCCTACTTTTTCAAGTGCCAATTCCAAAGGAACTGACTTCCTAAAATGTACATTATTTTTACTGCTTTATAGTTTCACATTCAACACATATAAACAACATTTAGCAGCCAAGAAAAGTAATAATTTTTAAAGTTGCTAATGTATTATGAAAGTTACTCTGTAAAAATATCATTCAAATGTTAATTTGTTTATTTAAAAGTTCCCTGCTATTTTAAACCACTACTTAGAACCTTCATATTACTATTTTGGTTTAACTTCCTCCCCACCCCACCGGTGCTGGGGACCAAATTCAGGGTCAGTAAGTACTCTTTCACTGAGCTAAATCCCCAGCCCTGATTTATAGGGTTTTAAAAATCAGACACACAAATATTTCTGTCAAAATGAAATATGAATTAAAAATCCAAATTAAAAATGAAAATTCAAACCCTGCACTTATCTGGGTAACAAAAATATTACTAGCAATTACAAAGCAGAAAAACCAAATAAAAGAGCTTTAAACCAGGTGTGAAAATACTCACATTCTTTGTTTCAAGAGTAAGGATAAAAATAAAACCACAGCCTTTTCTTTGGGTTAACCACAAAGCAAACTACAGAGGGTTTGCGCAAGTCCAGAGCAATGCATACGTGGCAAATACACAGCCTCACCAGGCTTCAGACGTCCTGGCCATTTGAAGTGCAGGATGTCTCTTCTAACAATGTGTGGCCAGGATGAGGGCTAGCTAAATCACACTGATATGACTCAGAGCCATGATGACATTTAGTAATTACCACCAGAGATAAAACTCAGGTGTGAAAGAGTCCAATAAAAAGTAAGGAGAACATATGCCCAGCTAAAAGCAAAAGTAAACTAAAACAAAACATTGCACATTCTTAACACTGGACTTTAAATTTAGTGGGGCTTTAGGGTGACAAACTCAGCTCTAAAATAGTCAAGTCAAAATGGTATTAAGGATGTACTTTTTAGTAAAAACCAACTCCAAAACTAGGTATAGGGAAAAGATTTTTATTCTACTAAAAATACTAATTTTTTAAAACCATTAATTACAAGTAAGTCATTGAAAATATTAAACATACTTAATTTTCAATAGTTATATACATCTTAATGTTCTACTCCAGAATATGGTTAAGTCTCTTCCTCTTGAGCAGACAAGATATTCCTTCTGAAAATAAAAACTAAATGATATTTAATAAGCCACCTATCACATATTAATAACATCTGCCTTTTCACTTCCTACCCCAATTTTTCTGATCTATTTCATTCATCATTTCCACTCACTTATCAAAGTTTTTCAAGTATTTAGGAGTCCACTAAATTAGGCTCAACTGATACACTGAACATTTATTACTCCTCAAGTATCATATTTTTTTCTTTCTCCTTTTATTTTTACATTTACTTACATGTATATACATTGTTTGTGCCATCTCCCCTCCATTCCCTAAGTATCATATTTTACAAAATGTTTTTCAGCACTGAGGAGAAACAAGTACCAAAAATGAGCTGTCTTCTGATTTTAATTCTTACAGGGGCTGGAGGTATGGCTCATGTGGTAGAGCACCTGCCTAACAAGTGTGAAGCTGAGTTCAAACCTCAGTATCCTCAAAATAATTAATTAATCACTACAGACTAAAGTGTTACTGTATTTTAAGCTTGTACTTAAAGTTAAATATGAACAAAATTTTCCAAATTCTCCAATACATCTTAGTCAATTTGGTTTGGGTCAACAATAAATCAAACTGATAAAATAGTGTTATATGAAATAAATAAATGATGTTATAATGAAATAAAGTATAGTTAACAGATTTTTAAATTAAAAATTATGGCACTAGATGCAGGAAAAGTATCTAACAAAATTCAATACCCTTTCATGGCAAAAAATTCTTAGGAAATGAGGAAGGAACTGATGAAAATTTAACCTGATAAAGGGCATCTATGAAAAACCAACAGCTAGGCTGGACATGGTAGCATATACCTATAATTGCAACTACTTGAGGCAGAGAGTGGGAGCATTGAAGTTCCATGCCAGGCCAGGTAAAAAGTTAGCAAGACCCCATCTCAACTGAGCATCTCAGCAAGAGATGGTGGTGTGCAGTTGTCATCCCAGCTAAATGCAGAGGTCACAAATAGGAGGATCACAGTCCAGGACAGCCTGGGCAAAAACATGAGACCCTATTCAAAAAGTAACTAAATCAAAAAGGGCTGGGGTCACGCCTCAGATAATATAGTACCTGCCTAGCAAGATCCTGAGTTCAAACCCCAGTATCCCCCCCCATACACACACACACACACACACACACACACACACACACAAAATCAATAGGGAAAGGATATTTTTTCCAATAAATGATGCTGGAAATAGATATCCATCCATACAGAAAAAAATGTAAGTCAACCTTCATACCATATGTAAAATTAACTCAAAATTAGTCATAAATCTGAATGAACAAGCTAAAATTATAAGATATATAGAAGAAAAAAAAGTTTATGACCTTGGACTAAGTA